GATGATGACGGATGACGATGAGGTGATGATGACGACGATGACGATCAAAGTCCTGAAATAGAAGAATGCAATGAATATGCACCGGTACAGGGTATGCCGGCCATCGATCTTAAGATCAAGTATAAATTTCATCAGACGGAAACTTTATTATTGCGTAAGATTTTTACACGTCATGGCCTTAGAGAAGCTCATGAGGATGAAAATTTTAACGTGTTATGGACGGGAGTGCACATGAAGCCGGATGTTTTACGTAATTTAGCTCCTTATCAGCGGGTTAATCACTTTCCAAGGTAATCGGACACTTTTAATGATTATCAGTGGAATATACTACAAATTTTATTTTCATTTTTAAGATCGTACGAGATGACACGTAAGGATCGTCTTTACAAGAATATCGAACGAATGCAACATCTTCGCGGATTTAAGCATTTCGATATTATTCCGCAATCATTTATCGTACCGTTGGAATATAGAGATTTGGTATCGGCTCATAATAAAACTCGTGGACCTTGGATAGTCAAACCAACTGCTTCAAGTCGAGGTCGCGGTATATTCATCGTCAATTCTGTAAGATTAGATTTGATGTAGGAAAAAAAGAAGAAGAAAAAGATACGAACAAAGTATTTTCTTTTTTTAGCCTGATCAGATACCGCAGGATGAACAGGTCCTTGTGTCTAAATACGTGGCCGAGCCGCTTTGCATTGACGGACACAAATGTGATTTGCGAGTTTATGTGTTAGTTACCTCGTTCGATCCACTTATTATATATATGTACGAGGAGGGTTTAGTGCGTTTGGCTACCGTCAAATATAATCTTAATGCTGATAATTTATGGAATCCTTGTATGCATCTTTGCAACTACAGTATTAATAAGTATCATACGGATTATGTTAAGTCGAGCGCCGCTCACGAAGAAGATGTTGGCCATAAATGGACTTTATCGGCGTTGCTACGTCATCTGAAGAGCCATGGTTGTGATACTCGCTTATTAATGACCAACATTGAAGATTTAATAATCAAGTCGATTTTTTCTTGTGCTCAATCTATCATAGCTGCTTGCCGCATGTTTGTACCTAATGGTAACAATTGCTTTGAATTATATGGTTTCGATATTCTAATTGACGACACACTGAAGCCTTGGTTATTGGAAGTAAATCTATCACCTTCGATGGGTGTGGACAGTCCGCTTGATGCGAAAGTTAAAGCAACTTTAATAACTGATCTCCTTACTTGCGTGGGAATACCAGCTATAACGCCAGCGATGCGTGCTCATTATGATAGCAAATGGACGCGTTTTCGAAATGTCACCTATAAACGACGCACAAATTCAGCAGAACCAATGGATTTGAAGAAACAAATCTCTATACCGAAACGATCCAGTTTGACAGCTACTGCGCCATCCCGGCCTTTTACTTTGGAAGAACAAAGGATTGTACGTAATGCTCGTTTACAAAATGCTCGTCGTGGTGGCTTTGTTCGCATATTTCCTACTGAGGACAGTATGACACGCTATTGTAACTATTTAGATCCATTAACTGGCATACCATTATCCACGCCTGTATTGCAATGCCAAAGTTATATGTCAGCGATCGTACAACATAATCATAATCAAATGGTATTTAAAAGCTTGTACGGTAAACCTTTAAAAGATGGAGACGTTAAAGAGGAGAATTCGATAGAAGATCGTATGGAGCAATATGAACGCGTTATTGAAACTGCTTCGCCAATAACTTTTTCTAAAAAGCGAGTGGAACCCAAATGCAAAGAGAAGGGAAAAATTTTGAGAAAACAGATCATTAAATACATTGAGGAGGGTGCAGAGTTAACACAGCTGCAAGCCAGGCAAGCATTCAGTCTTTATTTAGAATCTATATTGCGTCGTCTTACTCAGGAGCCCAAAGATTGCCATGAAAAGCTTATTTTAAAGTTTTTGTATAGGGTTGGTGGCGCCGTTAAAGCGCCAGTATTTTTCAGCAATCCACAGAATATGCGACCGGTTAGCAAGGCCCGTTCAGCCATGGTAGCCAAATTGCTGTGCGATTTTCTGGAACAATACAACCGCGACACGGAGGCATATGTGGACAGTTTCGATCATTTTGCCATGATACCGACCAATCTTTTTGTCGAATTCCTATCACAAGCTCAAGAAGGCGACCTTGAAGCGGTTTTAACTTTGAACACTAATCTTATGGGGACAATGCCGTATCTGTATAATCGCTGCGGTCTATCAGTACCTCCAACGCCTCCAATACCGTCCGGTGTTCATGGATTTTTAAAGGCCTTACCGGCTATGGTACAAACTGGCTCTGGCTCTAGGGATTTCAATAAATGTGACAGCTATTATAAGAATTCAGATGGTATGTCGTGGCGTTCGACCGACACGACTACAAGCAGGAGAAAGTATTTAACTAATACCAATAATCGAAGATAAACTTCAAAATAAGCGACGTCTTAAAGTTATTTCATTAATAGTTAAATAATATTTAAGAACAAAAGTGAGCTTACGTTGGGCCTTTGATACATACCAATATTTGTGAAATCATACAGATTTGCGTGTTATCCCGCCCGCCCGCCCCCCTTCCCCCTTTTTCTTTTGTAATGCAAATAATTCATAGCTTTATACGAACAAACCAACAACATGTGATATTGAAAATTTATGCTCTCTACAAAAGACCGTTAAAAAGAATTTGGCGGACGGTCAAATGAAATACAAATTAAAATTAGAAGATGAAGATAAAGAAGAAGAACCAAACGTACATTTTACAAATAGTTTTGGCTTTTAAAACAAACAACATAAAAAACATATTTAATTATGTTTTTTTTTTCTTTTCTGTTTTAAAATACTAAGGAAAATGAAAAGATATCGAACTCTTCAGTGCACACATAATATATTCTATTTTCAATAAAATATTATTAAAAGAAAACCAAAATTAACCTCTAATTGTAATGTGAGCAATCAATCAATCAATCAATCAATTAATCAATAAAGAAGCACGCTTTAACGCAATAACGCGTGTATTGCTTTAAAGACGTTTAACACAAAACGATGAGTAAATGATTATAACCATTTTTATTATTATTATTACCATTATTAATATTATTGGCAATAATCAATCAACACACTTTAAAAACTACAATAATTAAGAAAGAAGAGAAAGAAAGAAAAAAAAAAATGATAAATTTATTTTTGAAAAAAAACTTTTTACTCTAATTTACTTATGGATTTGTAACATTATTAACTTAAATATGAAATTTAAACGTAGTTAGTTAGCTAAACAAACAAATCGAACTATGCACTTAAACTACAACAACTACTTTTTAAATGGCAGCGAATATTAATTAAGCGTTCGAGCAAATTTTTTATAAAACATTAAAATTGCGTTTTAGCATTTGTTTTCTGTTATTTGTTAAATTTTATAAATATTTAAAGAAAAGAAAAAAAAAAGAAGCAAAACAAAATGCTGCCATCATATTTTAGATTTACTTAAAGAAAAAAAAAAAAAACGACAACTATCTCAATCTCACTTTCTTACCTCTCATAACAATGCATTTTTTACTTTCTTCTATGATCTGTAAAGTTGTTTGCATTTTTCGTCACAATACAATGGAAAGATGAACAAACCAAAGTGTTTTTGCATTCCTAGTAATTTAAATAGTGTAAAGCAAAAGTACTGAATGCTCTCTAGTCAGAATTAATTATTTTAAAAAATAAATAAATATGTATATATATATATATATATATATATGTACATATGTGTATATATATATAGGTTTTAATATGAGATTATGTACTTTTTTGACTTTTTTACAAATATTTTTATTATTATTATTATAATTGTTCCAATTTTTAAGCATTTTTATTACTGTGTCTGGTAGCAAAAAAAAAGAGAAGAAAAAACAACGAAAAGAACCGTTTTCTCAATGCAATTTATTATTATATTGATATTTAAATTAATTTCATTTTTATTGTTTTTAGAAAAATTGCGCTTTTTGTTGTTATTCATTTAATAATTTACTTCTTCATCATCCACGCACAAAAGCAATTTAGCCAAAAAAAAAAAACAAATCAATTCTGTATTATCAATTCTGATATTAAGTTGTGTGTAAGTAAAAAAAAAAAAATATGTTTTTAACGTAGTCTCTTTTTCTTTTTTTTAAGATTTACGAAAGTAAAAATCCTAAATTTAAATCAATGTTTAAACTAAAACAAAAAAAATAAAAGAAAAGCATAATTTACTTAGTAGCTGCTAATATGAAAAAAGAGCGAATTGTCCATACAATTATTATTGTGCATGCATGCAGTCTAGTTAATTAATATAAGAAAAAAAGATAAATATTTTTGCATTTTAAAAGCTCTTTATTAAAAAAAGAAAAAAACAAATATTTATATATTTCGAGATTAAATAAATTGCATTTTTTTCTTCATTCAAGCTATGCGTTTGCTTTGCAGTCTAAAAACTTTCAACAAAATGCTTCATCCGACTTACACCATACCGTTTGGTGTCCAATGCTTAATTAATTGTTGCTGATGTCTAACAAATAATTACAAAACTAAAAGAACGTATGTGTTTACATGCTTTGATACATATACATCGTAAGATGTAGCAATAACGCACAGCAGAACTGCGTGGAGGATAAGGAAAACCCAATACAATATAATATAACACTAGCTTCTGTCCTTTCACTACTCCGGGGTAGAAAATATTTTGATTTTCAATTTATTTATTCTGTAGATACAAAATTTACAAATACAAAGGCAGTAATTAGTTACCAATTTTTAAGTATGCAAAGCAAGTACAAGTACAGTGAGTTCTATCAAAAATTAACTTATATTCCATTAATGAACAACGAACGCTTGATCGTTATCAATGTGCACTTGTTGAATTGCCTTGAATAATCTATATCTGCTTAATCAATTAATTTTGGAAAATGTGGATTTAAAGTTGCGTCGCAGAAATTTTTAGCGATGATTGTTGCAATGACACAATGACATGCACACATTCTAAAATACATTATTAAGGCAATTACACATTAATAATGATGATGGACCGATGGGCGAATCACGTCGTATGTATTCATTATAACACAACATTTTGTACTTTTTTCATCATTTATATATATACTCGTCATATACAATTAATTGATTAAGAGGGACCAAAGCCACTACTAATAACCTCAAAAAATTTACCGGAAATTTGCTTCAACAGTAAGTGTAGCGTCGCTAAGTGAGATCATTATGAACGATATGACAATGTGCGACTTTCTCTTTGATCTGATTATTATGAAAAGATTATGGGGCTATGGTCCATTCCAACTCTACACATCCCCCTCATAGGTAGAATAAGAACAAAGCAAATTAGTTTTTATACAAACCTAAAATATGCGTATTATTTGCTCAATTGACTCTTGATCGCTGGGTCACAATTTTTAAATTATTGTGAGATATTAAGCACATGGATCTATGATTGATTGGTTCGTAAAAACTGTTAAAACGCGTCGACTTCACTTCAAAGTTTGGCCTTAACATCTAGGAGTGTCTTTAAAGTGATACTGATTGACAAATAATTCAAACGGTCGAATTTCTTCATTTCTTAGCTGCGGACATTTATTGCGATTGTGTCAACCGGCTAACAATTGTAAGTAAGTAACGATAAGTGTATAAAATCTTCTTGCTAGTTTTAATTGAACACAGTTTTAGTTGAAGATAATTTGGAAACTGCTGAATTTTGGGAGATATCAATTCAACATTTTCCTTCGGCATTTAAATAAATGGGGTGATTGTGCGATTATAAGTAAATGTTACGGATGATGTATGTATTTAAAATCTTTTGTTCTTCCCTTGTTTTTGGAGGATCTCAAGTGACCAACTTGCGAACTGTAATGCAAATCGATTCGAAATCTGTCTTCAACGTCCAAAAAAAGGAAAGGTTTTTAGCAACGGACCTATTTACATGCTTATAAGAAACGTGTCTTAGAAGGTTGACATTTAATATGTCTAATCACTTTTGAACAAAGCTAAATGGCGAAAATTAGTCGAAATCTACGAATCAGAACAGAGGAGTATTTAAAATCTCGTCGTTAATTTCCAGTGAAAGCAAACTCCAGATATTAGTTGAAGGCTTCCTTTGAAAGTTAATTCGCAATGCTCGAAGCAAAATTTAACTTAATCGTCAGTCATCCAAGCTTTCATCTTTATGTAAAGTAATTGAAAAGGAATTGAACATTCCCTTAAAAATTTTCCGGTCTTTTGGTGTTAAATCTCCATGGATTTTCAAAGACTGCTCTTTTGACATCTTGCTGTCTATGCACAAAAAAGTAGATTGGAGAATACTGGTTGGAATCTTTTATACACAGATGGCTCAAAATCTTTTGGCCTGCCTCCTGCTTGTGCCGTGGTAGATGCTACAAGACAGGTTCACATATTTCACGAAAGTACTTCAACTTTAACAACCGAAGCCAGAGCTATCCTTCACGCTGCGAACCTTGCCCATAAAAACAAACTCAAAACTGTTATTGTTACCGACAGTTTGTCTGTATTACAAGCTATTCGGAACCCTTCGACTTCGAGATGCAGCACTATCAACAAATTAAGGAATATAATTACTACACCCGACGGAAAAATTTAAATGTTATGAGTACCAAGTCACATCGGTTTATTTGGAAATGAGCAGGCTGATCGAGCGGCAAAGTATGCTGCTTCTGCTCCTCTAATTGTGGATGATATCATGGAAAAGTTGGATCTTCAAAGATACATTGGAAGAAAAGTTAAAGAGAAAATTGCAGAAGGAAATTTACAATACCATCATCAACACTACTCTTCCATTAACCCTCAATTAACTCCGCCTTTATATCCAACAAATGTTGAGAAAACCAAGATCCAAACATTTTCGAGAATTCGCCTTGCTCATACAACTGCAACTCACCAATGGGTCTTGAAGAAGTCTTCCTCCCCAATCTGCAGTTGTGGACAAACTCTCGCTATGAAGCACATTCTCTGCGACTGCCTTAACTTTTCCTTGGCTAGAAGTACTGCATTTGGAACGACTAACCCTTTGGACATTCTAAAATCAGCTTCAGAAGCGAATATCAATATTATAAATTACTTTATTAATACTATTAAGCTCATTATCTAAGGTACATTTATTTATATTAGAGCCGATAGCCTGTGCTGCTAGTGCTCAATGTCTTTTTTTTAGTCTAAGAATTTATTTCATTAGTCTGAAATTATAATAATAATACAATAGTCGTGGGTTCAAACCTCAAGTGCGGTAGAGTTTTTTTAATAAAAGCCGATAGCCCTAGATGCTAGTGCTTTAAGACTTTAGTCTTAGAATTTATTCTCTGGCTAAATTTATAATAATAATAATAATAATAATAATAATAAATATTATATATATAGCAAAAAAAATCATGTATAAAACTTGTATAGAGGCACCCCAGCAAACGGTACAGATAAAAGCTGTGGGTGGACTCCTAAGTCATGCTAAACATGCCATCGGGCCCAGGCGCACAACTATATTTCAGAAACCATAAACCATCCAAAACATCATTTTCTGAAAGTTAGCAATCGAAACCGAATTAGTGATCAGGTACGAATAGTTAGCAGCTAAATCGAAATCAGCGGTTGAAAAATTTCATCGGAAGTATTCAGCAAAGAAATTTGAGGAACAGAGGACTCGGGGCCATTGAGAGACACCTGCGACGTAGATATGGAAATATTACTTTTTGGCCTTGACAAACTTATAAAAATATTAGGGATTAATAAGCAGTGCTTATTTTATCAACTGAAAGTATCTATAATAACATTAATGGTTGAGGTAATTAAATCTGTACCTTGCAGCAGAGTAGGCGAAGTAGTCATAAGCACCACCACCACTTTTCCTAAATTTCTTGAAAAATTTATTTTTCCCATTGCTTCGAGAGTTGCTTGATCGGAACGGGTGCAGAAATAGCTAGGTTTAATACATTTCAGAACGATGAGAATAGGGTTCCAAAATTCTCAGCACAATTGATAAGGATAATACGGAAAAATTTAATGCAAAGGTTGTCGTCAGAGATAATGTTTTGATTTTGTTATCGTATTTTTAGGGCGCAGATAGCATTATTTATAACGCCTTTGATGATGAAGAGCATACTATATGTAGATCTTTTGCAAGTAACGTTTATCTATCTTAGGTTGCCTTTGTAAAGCTGCAGTCTCTTGAGCAGCGCACGTACCATTCAACACTGTCTAGGCCGGCACATTTGGTAGATCGATAAGCACAAAAAATTTCTAAAATCGATAGATGATTGCTTTGTTTCTACGTCGCTAACTATTTAGGTAAGTATACAACATTTGTCGTCAGTATAACTGTTCCCAGCCAGATAAGGTAATGAATGATATTCTGATTCGAAAGAGTACGAATGCAATCATTCATAGTCATTGTGTTAGTAAGTTTAAGGAACGTTACTCCCAATTGCATCTTTTGTTTTGACTTTTTTGGGTGGTTTACTCTACTGTTTCTTCTATCTACTTAAAAGTAATAAGAAGAGGCGAAAAGACACCTTATATTATAAACATATTTGGGGACCTTTTAGAAGAAACACAAGGTAGAGGCTTGATCGATTTCATATATAAATTGTTGTGATGCACCGCTGTGATGCTTCAACATTAGTTATAATGTCTTCGGCGCAAGTGAGTGTGCGTTTCGTTCGCTAATGTATTATCACTTATCATAATGTTACTTATATAATGTATTCTCCCAGTCGAAATTGCTATAACTTAACCAAAAATTTTGAGTCTAGTATGTGTGTCTGCTATCAGCGTCGTTATGCAGTACTAGCTTTATAACGACCCGTGAAGAAATTTTCAAAGTGTTTTCAAAGTTTTGTAATCCATTAAGCTTGGAAAGCTTTGAAAGCTCACAGCTGCTCTTTACACAAATATACATAAATTATTCCTGGCACGGTTAGAATGTCAGAGAAAAAGAAATTTCGAATGAGATGACGTACTTGAAAGAAAAACTGGAGATAAACTTTATTGAAAATATTTCTAAAAAATTGAAATAATTACTAAAATTAAAAACGATAGAGTACGAAAGTGAGACGTAAATCTTTAGTGCTAAACAATAAACAACGATCTTTAAAAAAATATTGTATTGTATGTAAATGTGAAAATAGAATAATTCTTGAACTCATATCCTTAAGTAAAAAACCAACCCAAAACCAAACGCTGTTATTGTTATGTAAATGAGTGAACTATATATGTTTAGAAGAAAATTTAATATTAAAATTTTACTGGCAAACAATTAATATCGTCACAATGACGGCGGATGCGATGGCAGGTCGTGGTAATATGATGATTTCTGGTGTGATAACGACTGCAAATCCCACTGGAGGCAGTCATTCAGCTTTGTTGCAAAAGCAAATGTCATTTAAGACCTCGGTAGGTGCCAATCAGTTGTCTAAGGCCGACGATATTGAAGTAATTGAGAGCGGGAATGTGGATGGAAGCTCGACTCGGTATGATAAGGTAAACTGTTTGATTTAAAGTGATGGAGTTTTTGGTAAATTTCCTTCACCTCCAGAATGCTACGTTGGGTTGGGTTTGCTGTGCACCTTGCATATGGTTGCGCACTTCAGCAACGGTTCACAAGATTGCTATCACAACGGCTACTTTATTGGTGACATCGTTGCTGGTAGCCTCACCGATACTATTTCTAATTAGCACGGCACCGTCTCAGTTACCTAGGGATTGTTATGCCGATGACGAAGACTGTATGCCCACCACCGCACCACCGCCCGAATGTATAGATCCTGTGTGTAAGATTGCAGCCAGCAGTATACAGGCCAAAATCAATTGGAATTTCGATCCTTGTATCGATTTTAAAAATTTTAGCTGCTCATCACCCTCTCAATCCAATGGCCTGGCTAGTTTACGAGCAATACGCAGCGCTCAAGAAGCTGTAGACACTCAAATGCAGCGTAAGACAATTCTTTAAAGAAATTATTTTTTTAAAAATGCTTTTAAAAGTCAAAACCTACAGAATTGCTACAGCATAATACGACGTCCGGACCATTTCGAAAACTGGGTCGATTATTTGGTAGTTGCTTACGTCAAACTACAAATTCATCGACAATACGTTTGGTTTTAGAGCAACTGGGTGGTTATTTGCCTATTGGAGCGTTGGGACCGTCAAGTATTGCACCATTATTATCGAACATTTACGAATTAGGACCCACACCATTAGTAGATATTTATTATGATTTAAGTTATGGCAAAAATCCACACGTTTTATTGATCATCAGTGGACCGAGTGCTACGGCGCCGATTTTGGAGGTAAAATATACCTTTTGTATACAAAGATTGCAAAGATGTTAAATGACACGATGTTTGTGCAGAGTAAAATACGCTGGATGGGTCCAAAGGCACCTCCTTATCGCCTTAAGCAAACCGTACCGAAATTGCTGAACGATTTACTCGATAGCTTTTTACCGAATGGCTTAACAGCAGATCAGAAAGCTTCTGAAAATGAAGCTATCTCTACGTTTATCAAGGAACTGAACAAGGTAACTGTTTCGCAGATTTTCAAATGTCATTTGAAGTATTCATTTGTATTTTTCAGATACGTGTTGAATACACACGACGAGGATTTTGGGATAGTTCGGTTCTTTATAATACCTCTTCGTTACAAGAAATCTATCCCATTGTAAGTGAAAATATGATGCCAGTGTTAAACTTTCTAAAAAAAAAGAATTCGTTTGATGTTAATATTTTAGTTGAACTGGACTACGCTAGTACCTAGCGATTGGAGCGGTCCTATTGTGGTAAGAAGTTCCGATTACCTCAAAGCGATTGGAGAATTATTGTCGAAATACCCCACACGAGTAGCCCACAATTCCATGCTCTTACTATTCGCATTGGGCGTACTGCCCCAAGGGCATCCAAACGCTGTTGTGTGCACACGGGCTACAATGTGGGCTTTACCGGATATAACATCGGCTTTATTTATTGCGCAGCATTCGTCGGATGACATCAGCGACGTTATAAGACGTGTATGTAGATTTAAATGAGAATTTTATTTTTCGAAAATTATACTAAACGCTGTTCATATTTTTTTTTATAAATCAAAAAGACCGATATTATATTTAAATCGTTGAAAGCTCATTTGAAACGTGCACCTTCTCTAAAAGGAGCCGCTTTGGTTAAATTATCCGCATTGAAAATACAATCTGAACCCTGGAGTGGTTTTTCAAATATAACATTTATGATTAAAACGTTGGAATCGCTCGAGATCACCTCGGATAATTGGTTTGAAAATATTTTAAAAATCTACCAAAGAAATCGAATTGTACCCGATGTCATACATACCAATTTTACCTCACATGACGCGTAAGTGTAGTGGGAAAATTTTGCAAAAATTTTTATTCACCTATTGAAAACTTTCTATTGTTATTATTGGTAGTTGGGCTTATCCTATAGTTGCCAAAATCTTCTATGACACCCTTAGTCATTCCATCGGTGAGTAAGGAAAACTTTAGGAAATTTCATTATAATACTTTAATGTTCTGTTTAGTTGTACCCCTTTCCGTTATATTGGTGCCATATTTTGATGGTCGCCTGCCTCCCTATTTGCAGTATGCTTCGGTCGGTGTCGCTATAGCCAAAGAAATCCTACGTTCGATTACAAAAGCATTCGAAGATAAGGCTATGCGTTGTGTACCGAAATCGGTTAACATCTTTTCGAATTATAGTCGCATGGATATACTCATACATTCGGGTGGTATGCAAATATCATACCATTCCATGCTATCGCTGACTGGTCCTATCAAAGGAATGGCACGTTTACCGGGTCTTAATTTAACACCGACGCAAATATTTTTCCTTGTATCCGCGCAAGAATTATGTGCTGAATCGGATTACACTGGCATCGATACAGACGCTCCCGAATTTGAGCACATGTAATAACTATTTTACTCTATAGAAAAACAATAATGATATTTGTAAAAAAAAAATTTATTTTTCTTATAGCTTGGGTTGGTTAGTGGCTCAAGGAGGCAGTGCTACCGAGGTATTTAAATGTCCCTCGGGTTCAATGATAAACGCTCAAAAAACTTGTAATGTCCTTTAAATGCAACGCATAAAACTTTCACCAGACGATCCAAGAACGATGTGTATGTATATGATGATACTTGTGAAGGCAAATTTGTAGGAAACTTTATATTTTAAAATCTTTTAAAATAGTTAAGATTAAGAAAATGGATAAGAATATTAACTTATATATGTTAACGTGAAGAGAAGCACGGTTCGGATCTGTTAATGTTTTAACAAAGTCATAATTATTTATCATTAATTGGTTGATGAATGAGTGAATGTCTTTCGCGTCGACTTAACGACAAATATATCTTGTAAAGATATATATATAAAAAGTATTATTTTATCAAAAATTAACTATAAGTGTTGAACGAATTTCATGTGATAGACAAACTACTACGAAACTTTCTATTTTATGCTTTCAATTAATTACATATTTTAAGATATACTTATACTTATGTTTAATATTGCTGTTAATTAAGTTTTGAATTTTTATTTTTATTTTTTTTTCGGGTTTTTTAATATAATACTTATTATGTTGATTAAGTCTTTCTTGTTACTATACTAAGGTAATTGAGACTTACTTGAATTGAAACTGTTCGCATTGTGATTTGGATAAGAAACATTCTTGCACGAGTAAGCTTTAATACTGTAGAAGAATATTATCTAAAGAAAAAAATGAAATGAAATTAATAAATTTATAATAGAGATATTTTCTTAAATAGAGACTTTAAAAACGAATCGAACCGAATTTATTTTAAATGATGAACGTGATAAATTTTTTTGAGAGAAAATATATCCGTCCCGAATATGATTGAACCTTTTAGGCTTCTATGTAATGGTGGGTTTAAAATCGGACAAGTAGGCTTGGAGAGAATTTGTTGAGGACCAACAAAGGGAAATTATAGTTGGCTTTCGGTTTTGATTTTTAATGGGATTTCTACGTTTAAGACATTATAGTAAATGTTTCACAGGTCTTTCAGTCTATGGATATTTTAGATTTATCTCCGCATACGTATACGTTATGCGGATGCAAAGAAGTACGAGAATTCCTTAAATCGTGGAAGGATGTACTAATGCATGGTATCTAGCATTATATGGGTAAGTAAGTTATATATACATATTAAATAGATCAATAATTCCCGGGACATTTTTGCAAAATTCGATTTTATGCCCCTAGATCGTCTCCTTCGAGAGTGACAATAATTAGCTCAAAGCTTCTCTACCACATTGCGTTCGCTTAAAACGATTTCAATAAAATTCGTTTTAGTTCTCGTAATGGACTCACATTATTTGCAACCCAATTTTTTCTCCGATGCTGCTTCTTTGCCATGTGCAAGGAGATGGCGATCGTTATAAAAAATAGATTGGGTGGGATAGTAATTTTAACTTGAATTCCCGTATTTTTCTCATCGTGCACGACTAGATTCACAGGTGACAGATTGCATTTGGAAAAAACTTTCTCAGACCTAAATTTTGTTACAAAATAGGAAATACGCTGCTTTTTTATATCGGTAGAACGTCATCTATGCCTTACAACTTCACTTTATGGTTGTCGATAGTGGCTTTCGCAATTTTTCGTTGATCCGTTGGTCGTCCACTACCTTCGGGCTAATAATTGGTATACGCGTGACCTCGTTTGAAATCATCAGACTACCTGAGCAAATTGTTATTATCGTTGGAGAAGGATTGCCACAACTTTTCTCAAGCCCGTACCGTGGGTGAATGGGTTTTTCGTCTTCCAACAAGCTATATTTGATGAGACATTAAAAATCAGATTTTTCCCGAATTGCGACAAAAATATGAAAATATCTATGGATTGATACGGTGAATAATTGCCCAAAGTGTGTAAGCGAAAAAAGTCGTTTTCCTAAGTTAATTCTAGAGATTTTAACAGAGAATCAACTTAACAACAATACTTGGACTTCTTCCACATCAGAAATATCATCTGTCACGCTCTCTCCGCTGCGGCCATCTCCTTGTCTCTTCGTCTTTCCTCACTTCTTTCTGACTCTTACCGTATTAGACGATGTGTAATAGGTCAAAATAAAGCGAAATAAAACCAGTTTAGTTTCGAGGGGATCGAATGATTACTTTCTTTTTAAAAAAGGCTGAAAAAATCGCGATGCTAGCCGCTGCTAGAGTCATATCTAATCGATATTAAATTATATGATTGGCAGAACGTTCGGAGAATTTGAGAAACAGGGAATCAAGGAATCATTCAGCATTAGAAGAGTAAAAGCCCTTTGTATTGGAAAAACAACTGCTTATCCAATGAAAATGTCGAATGATTGAGCCATCGACCAAGGAGATTTTGCGAAAAGTTCTAAAATCCTTGCTTCGTTTTGAAAAAGAATTCCATTCCATTTCCGACACAGTCAGACGCGTTTCTGCTGATTTCAGAGACACTTTATTAGTTATGGTAAAGGGATTAGTTGTAGTTATCGTTAAAAGCCGAGTCATTTTTGTGTATTCGTTAATAGTTAGAGAGCATATATTGTTGGTTGTTCTCGTCGTCTTTTAATACACATTTACCTCTAGATCGATCGACTAAATTGTATTTCCCGTAAACATGGTTAGCAATTGAAATGAAAACTAACCTATACTCGAACTTGCATTATTGTGTTCTTTAAATCGTTTCATTTAATCGCTTGATTTATTATCTGATACAACATATATTTGGTTATTTCCTATTATTCTCGTCTTCAAGATATTTGGAAAGTCAAGTATCTCGCAGGCAGCTGTGCATTTCAAGATTCTTTTGAGTACAATCCGCTCATTTCTATATAAGTGCCATAGATGAATTCGATATCATTCGAAATCATCGAAAATCATCTCTAGTAGATCATATACTTATGTATAAAAAAATTATCATCATAAGGTTTCCGTTAGAATTAATTGTCAATGACTTTTTATTTATCTTTTCTGATATGAAATTTATTTTGTAAACGTGAAATTATGTTTTTCATCTATCTTTTCGAGTTTGCGATAATTTTCCTCTTTTCTATTCGTCACGGTGACAGTTTTAGGGAGACAAGCAGTGATGAATCGCTTTTTGCTAGCTTGCCAAATTCTGACTGTATGCCTGAGGTGAGTGCCGTACTACTCGAGTGTCCCAAGAAATACCGAAGTCGATCGTATCAGGATAATTCCGAGAGTAAACACGAACGAAAGGCATGCGAACCACAACTGATGGTTAATATACGAGTAAATCCTAGTTTTCATATTGAAAAATTGGAAAAGTTTCTAATCTTGGATGAGGTATATGATCCGCGCAAACGTACTAAAGCTAAAATATTATCGCCATATTTAATTGAACTGAGTCGTGGCGAACCAGTTATGATGTATCCGTTGCAATTCTCAAAGGTATGTAACGTTGTACCTATGAATATTAATGAATTCGAAATACTTCTTGTCTTACTTAGATAATAAAACTTGAGGATGCAAATAATAAAGAGTGCGATGAAGGTGCGCATCATAATATGGGGAATTATATGACTGATGAAAGCGGCAATAATGGCAATGGCAATGGCAATGATGGACTCAACACCGGTAATAATGACAAAGACGAGCACGGGCCAGAAGAAGCACAATGTCAACATAATGAGCACACTACCAAATGTGACGAGATGTTGGAAAGTAGCGGAGCGCAATCTACGCAATCTACGTATTCGTCGTGTAAAACTTCGACCGAAAGACCCAGTACTTGTATGCCATTAACACCACGGCCGCCAAATAAATGTTCCACTAATCAATTAAGTCCGGAAGATGAATCTCTAAATAGAGGTAACATAGTTGTCGTAAAGATTCATTAAAAGAACAAAATTAACATCCAGGCTTATTTGAATTTTAACAGTAATGCAAAAAATTCATCAATCGTTTGCACCGATAACAAAAATTAGTGAAAATCGGCCAAGTGGTAATATTAAGCAAAATCATAATAGTAAGATACGGATTGGAGATCCAACGGATTTTTCTGAGATTTTTAAAAGGCCTCACGATCAATTTGATAATCCATTTAGTAATACGGCAAAGAGTGATAAATATCCGAACGTTTGGAATAAAGATCGATTTATGATGCATCGTCCTTTCAACAAAAAAACAAAAGCGAAAAGTAAGCCGCCGCACAACCGAGTTTCGGCTGTTTCCGCCATAAGATCAAAACAAAGGAAAAACTTACTTCAAGCAAAAATATTTGACGATTTGTCCGCGAACGTAGGAGTTGAAAAGCCATTTGCCAAACGTTTGTTAGGCAACAAACTAGCACAACTCGGTATTATCACTAGTCCACGTGCTGAACGTAAAGTACGTAAAAAGGGACGAGTAGATGATATAAAAAACGCATTTGAGGACGAGGATGATGATGATGGCAGTTCAACGATTTCAAAAGATTCTGATTATGATAAGTTACTGGAGAAAACGTCAGAAGATATTAACAATATTGATAAAGATGAACTGCCATTTCGTGACAGTAATACAGATGAGAAAGAGTACCGAAATGCTGAGGAAAGAGTAGATGCTATTTTACGTGATCGAAAAAAGACAAATGAAAATAGGAAACGATTTCAAGTTGGAAGAAAACATCATCGCTACCGAGATGAGAAGTTGGAAGAGGATACGGCTGGCAAAGTAAACGTGCCAAAAACTTGTGTACGTTTGATTGTCATTCATTTTTACATTTACATTCTAGGCTAATTTTAAGAGCTGCGAATGTAAAAGTGCCCCAAGACGAGGGCCGGAAGAAAGTAACGATCGAATGGAACTAAAAAATGTGGAAAAATGCGTAAACAGTCAAGACCTTGAGGAAGATAACGATTTCAAAGAAGACCCGAAAGTAGATATGGACGAGAATGATTTGCTGTCATCGTCGGAAATGCAAGTCGCAAGTCTTGATGAAAAGCCTTATAAAAAAACTGCATTTTATTCTCGACCAAAAACGAAAAATGGCAAAAGGAGAAGAATGAAAAATTTTCGAAAACACAAAAAAGACAAGAAATTTGATTACAATGAAAATTTTATGGATTTCAATGTGGAGAAAAATATGCGCGAAGAACGCGCTCATAATGTATATAATCGGTCACCTGATACATTACGAAGACCTCTGTCGATGGTAATGTTTTTCGTCTACGAATCTTGAGAACAAATTCTTTTATGAAAATTCTTATCTTCTCTTTATCCTCCATGGACATTTATTATATGCAGCCAATCATAGCGGGTATTCCTTTAGATGAACCTTCTCCGAAAAATAGCAAAAAGGACGATGACCTCGACGAAGATGATGAGTTATACTATTATCTGAATGGTGATCATTACAGGTACCGGAGTAAATTCTGTGTTCTGAAATGATTGCATACATGAGCGTTAAGTATACATGAGCTATTCCTCTAAGACCATTTTTCCATCAAAGAAACAGGCTTCGAATCATTTCATTGAGATTTATGATGGCGTGATCCCGTTCAGGGTTCTGCGCTATCATATTTGGTGGGATTTAAAGCTTAAGTGTCGTCATAATTTTATGTTGTTGTTGTCGATTTGAAGTGTTCGCAAATGCTGAAGAAATAGTTTGACTTCGAGAAGAACATGTCATTAATGAATTCGAATCAAATATTCTTATCCTAATACGTTACTTACAAGACAACATTAATAAAAACAAATCAGAAAATTATTTTCGGTCCCGACCGAATTTTTTTACATCCTTCACCGTTATTCCAAAAAAGACAAAAATAGTAAAAGAACTATATTCTTATGCTCTATAATAAGGAGTGGGCGCTGCTGATTTTTTCTAATATCAAAATAAAAGTTTTTGTCACACACACGCTCACAGGTGTGTGTGTTCTTTGGAAAGTTTACACCGCTTTCAAATTCTTTTGAATGTTCAACGCAGATACTACACTAAACGGAAGGACAGATGGACAAACAGGGAGACAAACAAGCTTAAGCCTATTCCAAATTTCATACCGGCCAGGACTTCATATAATTATTGGGAATTTGGAAGGTTGTCTCTACGTGTTATAAAATTATTGAAAAAAAAAATGAAGCTTTGATACAGGTATTGCGGTGTCATTCATCGAATATGCTTTCAAATTTTTGTACGTTTATCTTCTATAGTTTATGAGTAATGAACAAAAACCAATTTTTTCTTCCGTTTGAAGGGTAGATGCGTTTTCACCTTACATAGTAATGTAAGCCGGTTCTTCGATCAGTATGACCCATTTTCAATACCAACGTGCGCGCAAGTACTTCCAATGTTTGCATTTGATAGCTTCTTTTTTGTGGGAAGGGAAGGGAGTGTTTGAAAGAAAGACAGATACGCCAATGAACAGACGGATGTTCTTAAATCGGTGTAAAATCTGATGCTGATCAGAAATATAAATATTCTATAGGGTCGCTTATGCTTCTCTCGGGGCGTTGCAAACATTTTGATAAAATGAATGTACCCCTCGTTCTTCGGTGATGGGTGTAATAAGAGCATATTCACTGGTCATATAAATATTCACTTATCGGGGCGACTTTCATCAAATAAAGTTTATAAAAATGTGGAGATAAAAAGCGCATTTTTATAAAAAATTTTGAATAAATCGCAAACTTTGGCGAACTGTGCTGTGCACCATGCTACCACTCGGCGATGAAAGCAGAAATTTTGAATGAGCGCAAATGTCAAATCAGTTTGAAAAAGTGTGTCGATACAAACTTAAGGGGAAACTATGGAGCGCCTTTATAAATGCATAAACTGCTCTGCGTTCTCGCTCGTTCTATTAGCTTTTTAAGCTCTCATGTTCGGGCAACTAATGGTGACAGACTATTCACCTTAAATCCAATATTCTTTTGGTTTGTAGTGTAGACAAATTTGTCTGCAATACACTCATTGCTTGTCTATAGAAAAAGAAAAATCGGATATGTTTTTTTTCCCCCGTTCAGAGAATATCAGAAAGGTTACTGGCCGGGCAAATATGGCGAGGATCATGATAAACAAAAGGAAAGGGAGAAAGATATTAATTTTCAACAATTGAAAACTCATAACGAAGAACTTTATCAGCCGATTTTGTATGGGAATTATTTCAAAAATCCAACGCTTATGTACAGTTATCAAACGGCAAAAAGTGAAACAGCGAAGATAACAACGACTGCCATCAATGAAGATGAGACAACAGAAAATTTTGCACCCGATTTTATGCAGCCAACTAAAGTGGAGTTTGAAAATATGTACAAATGTAAATGAATTGGGGATGCATTCCATACGAACATTCGAGAACATTAATTTCAATTGTTTATTCAATGCAGATCCGAATGCTTTTCGTAGCATGTTGCCGCACGCCAGAAAAATATATAGCGAGTATATGGAGACAACAACTCAGGCGGATCGAGATGAAGATGATCTTTTTACTGATAAAAATTTGAGTGTAGAAGATAAAATGCGAGTAATTGACGCAACCACAAATATCGATGATAAAATCGATTTTAATGGGATATCGGCTGAGATGGACAAATCGGCTTCACGAGAAGCTACTGCATTTCCGTATCCGTTAAGCAAACCGAAAACAAAACATAAGAGAAGTTTTTTGCTTTACGATGATATGGAAATGCCCGACAATATCGAAGAGAATCAAGGCGTTTATGATCACTTGTTGCCCGCATTAAATAACGGAGGGCAAGCGATCGTGGTAGATGATGGAGTTCAACCTTGTGCCACTTGTGGCGGTAAAGGGAGAAAACCGCCACCGAAAAGTGAACCTGAGCAATCGTCAAACGAAAAGTATATCAATTGTAATTGTCGAAACGATCCTAATGCCATATGCATGTGTGATAAAAAGAAGAGACGAGCACCAACTGTACGCGATGCTTGGTAAGATTTCATAAGTTTAGTGTCATATTCTTTTAAGAATCAGTTAGTTTATTTATAATTAGGTATTCAGTTTTCAACATGAGTGCGCCTTTGCCGTTCCTTACGACTCGGTTGAGGATTTTCCGAAAACGCCACGGAGTTTGGTGGAGAATTGTTCCATCGATCACGTGAGTTCGTTTTTTCTTCTCTTTTTGTTTTTTGAATTGCTCTCTCCTAACATTTGAATGCCATCATTTCATTAATGCGTAGCCTCAACAGCTTATCCGGAATCTTTGCCAACGCGAATCTCTCGATTTTGTTCTCGTCCCATGTCGACATATTTCAGTTTGAAAAATCTCTCCAATTGCAAAACAATCAACTTTTAGTGCCAAAAGACGACAGACCCACGCGAGATTATAATCCTTCTATAGCTAGCAAATATCTTAACAGCGCCGATGGTTCTGAAAATTTGAAAAATTTCCATTTTAATCCTGAAAACTTATTGGCCGTTGATCCGGCTCGATTAACTTCCGACGTCTTGCAAATGGACATGGTCGAATTTGATAAACAACGAGCAAAGCAAATGGACTTACCATCAATAAAATCGAATATCCGCAATACATTATGGAATGGAATATTGGATCATATTAGACCTATACGCAGTTCCTCTTATTTGCCCAATACTGATAATAACAATAATAATGATGGCATCAAGAGAATAATCGATTTTGGTTTTTTTCCAACTTCGTTGAACGTTCTTGAGTACTGTCCAAATGCTAAAAGTCAATTATGCTTGAATATGCTCGACGATCGAGTACCAGGTTAGTTGTAGAAAAATAATTGTAATAATTATTCCATTAAATCGACGTAAGAATTGTTACTTTCAGCTTTCACTATGAAAGTGAAAATGCTTTTTCGTGAAAATTCAGTCATTTACTATAACATCTCAAGAGTCAAGATTGCGAAAATTGTGACAGATGCGACAACCAAGGATGCTTTACAGGTGGCAGTAGATTTAGTGAATGAAGGAATGCAAGCACGCGAATTTTCAATATGCGTTTGCAATTGTCCAACGGCGTGCGCTTCAGCAGCCAAAACTACAGTAACGAAAGTCTTACTTCCGCATATACGAGAAACTGTTACGTTTCTTTTACCCCTGATTGTGGAAGCAAACAATTTGAAGCATCGAAAATTCGATTGCGAACGTACGTATATGTGAGATTAGAAATGTTCCTATATTTTGATATTACGCTAAATTTTATAGTTATTGTTAGAACGATAAGTGAAACTCCACGGATTATAGAGGAAAATTTAGAAATTCTTTCGCCATCATTTCATAAAACGCTCAAAGAGAATCAAACGGATGGGAATGTTTCATCAACGGTGGAGAAGAGATTCGCTTCTGTTAAGTTGAAACAAAAAATTGTTGCGATTCGAAAGCTCAGTGTTGACCCGGATAATCGCTGCCTATGCGTATGGGAATGTAAGTGTCATTGTGTCCCAAAGTTGGAAACTATGGTTGATTTTCATATCTGCCAAGAACTCACCCAGGAAGAGAAACGCAATGCGGGTTTGCTTCAATATGCAGATGATCTGGAAATAAGTGAGCCTGTGGAAGAAGTATCGTCACCTCCCTCTAAAGAACACCATCACATCCATATACCTTTACCTCATCGTCCCCATTTTCCCTCCTTCCATATCGAATATAAAGGATTCCTCGCAAACGCTATATTCTTACTTTTAATAATGATTTTATTAGGTACGTAAAATATTCTTCGGCTTTAGTGTCTATTGGAAAATGCATCTCAAACGATGATTTTGAACTTCAAAATAGGCTTAATTAAGGCGATTTTGGGTTTATGCATAAAACCTATAAACAAAAGTGGCTACGACTATGTTCAGCCGGCGCGCAGTTATAAGCGTTCGTCGCGGTAAGATTTAAGCATCTATGAGTCAATTATTTGAAATTTCATTTAAATCGCTTGTCTTTTAATCGCTTTTTGATATATAGAGCTTTAGGTTTGGGTTTTTTTTTGGAACACATACATAATTAGAAATGCGTGGCTGTGATACGCACATATTTATATTTTCTTTTTTGCATTTTATGTTTGACATTTTGTATGTTATTATACCTCGCAGTAGTCGTGGTTATGTTGTGTGTAACACCGAAAAGGATCATTTGTTGTACCAATCGATTCATCAGCAATCATTTTCTGAGCCAATTTAAACTTATCTGTCTATCCGTCCTTACCTTATTTAGAAAAGTTCATATGTGAATAAGTGTGAATAGTGTACAGTATTTCCAGAAGTGTTGCTTATCTTCTATACTTTATATTTTGTTTCAAACTTTATGTTCTATATTCGACGTTTTATGTTTGCACTCTACACCATTGTGTGGCACAGGACTTGTTCAGTTTATGGAACGTTTATGTAACACTCATAAGGGCTTAAGATAGATCGATGCTTTTTTGTAGCGAATCTTTTCTAAATATTTTCTGAATCGATCTACGTTTACTTGTTCGTCTGTCCGACGGATGTCTGTTGAACCATATTTGCGTTCAAGCAGCAGGTAGCAATTTTTGAAGTGCTTTGACCCAAGAACGAACGCTATTGCAAATGCTTCGGATCGGCTCACTTTTACTATCACTTCCCATATAACGTGTTATTTTGAAAAGTCCTTATATAATTGTTAAAATTTTTCGTCAAAAGTCGCTCGGTAATAGCATTTCGACATTCTAAATTGATATAAAAAATTTTATTCCGTATGGGCATATCTCTCTCAAAAAAGTCTAATTTTTACTACTTCATAGTAAAAGTTGAAAATAACTAAACTTACGGATCACGTAGGTCTATTTTTTAGACCTTAAACATATATGAGAGTTGTCATGAAAGACAAGCCCTTTATCCGGTCATTTGCTATGACGGAAACTGAATAATATAATAATAATAAAATTTCTGGAATGTAAATTAAGAGTGGTTAATTTGGATCGAGTCATCTGATGTTTTGGGCAACCTCCCATATGTCGGCTTTCATAGAAAGTATGCCTTTGCATCAAAATAAACTTGTATTATTGATGTATTATTACGTAAACGGGCAAATAATTGTACTCGACCAAGTGATATAGGATATTTAATTAATGGTTGGCCCTGCTCGACTGTAATGTTTTTACCTGTTATTATATATATATTTTATACATTTTTTATCTAATGTTAACATTTATATATATTAGTTGTCACTATGTATATAAGAATCTCAAAAGAAAAATACTTATCTGAGTGGCATATGATGATCTTTCTTAAACTTTGGAATGTCTTGAATAATATTTTCCGTGAATTTGCAGGTTACGGCGTTTCTGTGTAAATACTTTCTTTTTTATAGTATTTCCGTTTCTGTTCTGGTGCAAATGTTTCACACCAAGCGAAGAAGATCTTCTCGCCGCTAGTACCGAATGGCCTTGCTCTCATGAACAGAGTTCCGATAAACCTCGAATGAAAGCCGGGAAACTCCATAGAGCTTTTACATTAGGTAAAGATGACGATGACGATGAAGAGGACGTCATATTGTCTCAGGTAATTTGAATTCAATATCAAGTCTTCTATTCAATCAATGACATCAATGATTTTTCGGACCGACAAATAATTTAACATTTTTCTTCTAGCATCTTGATCTGCAATCTCTCAAAAGTAAACCTGACACCCGTATGGGTGGTGGTTATGATGTACCCTCCTTGCATGACGTATCCGATTTGGATTTAGCTTTTGACGATGATATTTTCGACGATAATGGCGATGACGACGATGACGAGGCAAATACTAGATTTATTTTAAAGGCTTTAGCTGAATGCAGAGAATCACTTAAACGCCTGGCAAGTGAATATATAAACATATTTGCAAATATATGACAGAAGATTCTGTATGACTCTTAAAAAATTTCTGATTCAATTTGCAGCATAGCGATATGTCACCTAATAAAGTTGAAGCATTACCTGTAGTACCTTGTGCAAGAACGAGATCAGCAGAACAGTTTGTGAAGAAATTGAAAGAAGCCCAGATCGTTTATCGCACCTTTAGTCAGCCACTCGGGAATATGAGGGAAATACCGTCCGGCTTTAAATATTGTATACAAGGCTACTTTTTACCTACCATTGGCACAGCTTACGAATTTGTCAACTATAATCCTTTAGCCCAACATCGTGGTTTAGCAGCAGATGTAAGTATTTTGTAAACATTTTTTCTAAAAATTAATTTTTCATCTTTTGCAGCGAAAAACTATGCTAACTCTACGACCACCTGTATTACTCTGCTCTAAAGATTTCTCACGACGTTACATCAATAAATTGGATGTTTTAGATGCAGGCGATCTTAGCGAACAACCACCACTCGGGATACCGTGCATAAATATATCAGCTGTAGCGTCGGTGGCAACATCTATGGCTAAACTGGCGTCCGAAAACTGTGCAGAATCGATGATTGATCAAGAATCGATATCATTGTCTTTACCTTTAAGTAGTAAGGAGACATCTTCAACAGGTGCTCAGAGTCCTTATACCTTAAAGGATGAAGATGATTTACGGAATCTTTTGTCGTCAGATTTGAACTTGAAAAACTCATGTACATCCCACGACGTTGAAATCATGGATGATGATGCAAATCCTGTAGAAAGAGCTGAAACTGTCCTTGTCGAATCGAACAGTTTATATTCCTACGATATTAACACAATTCCTGAATAGTTCCATAAAAAAAAAGAGAAGGATTTTATGAAAAACGTTTTAATTGATACATAAGCCGTTGAAAAGAATTGCTTTATATTTATTTATAGAGTGTCTGTGATTTACTTAATATTTTTTTTTCTTTTGTGTTTTATAGGAATAGAGAAGAGCTGCATAATTGTTGATATATTTGTTTATTCTTTATTTTTAATACTAATAATAAATACAATATGTTATTGTCTTGCTTCCTTTCAGAGAATATGTAATAAAGCATTTCTTATGTTAATCAACGATCAATTTGTTCGCATGGATTTGCTATCAACATTTAATACCTTCTTGCATTGCATCCGCAGCTACTATTCGGAGACCCCATAAGTTATGCATACATTCGATAGGCTCGACTCGATGTAGAGCACACTGAGGGATCCTCGTTTACTTGTCTTTTAGCGAGCGTCTGGTCGTGAGAAGCTTCCCCAATAGGTCAATGTTTGAGATACTGACGTCCATCGTGTCCATAGCTAGAGAACAGACCCGCTTAGCGGCTAGACAAATAAATAGGACTAGAATCTACTTTAAACAATTATTATCTGTAAGCAGACACTCTAAAGGAACGTTTGCTGGAAAAAATATCAGCCGGCAATGAATTTCGACTTGGAATACAATAAAGATAGTGCCGCAACGCCCAGTACAAAATTTTGCCTAAAGCCATTTGCATATTTAAGGCAAAAATTATCTGACTAATTCATTTGACTCCTCCGCCTCCAATCACGCTTTGTAGTGTTCATAAACGAGGTTTCTTTTAGAAGAGCTTTTCTTTTTTGTTTTGCACTTTGTATCAATCAATATTTAAGTTCATTAAACTGATGTGAAGGTTGGGAGATTAGTGATGCCTTATGGAATGAGCGTACAAAATTTTGGACTATTGTCATATAAGTAAGATCGCCCTCCAATCAATTCTAGTCTTGTAGGACAATAACGAATTGAATACCCTGTGAGATTTTCATACCTACATGATCCGTGTAAAAATTTGACATCCACATTAATCGTGCCTAAGGACCTCTCTTAGTGGGTTCGGTTTCTATGCATCGTTGAAGCCACAAATCGTCCAATTTAATCGACCAAGTCATCAATGAATTAATCAATGAATTGATGTCACAATACATTAATCGCATCTCGCGCAAAGAAGCATTGTAGTCTATTCGCTAATACGAGTTTTTTGTTTTGCGCTTTGAAGTATAGGCTAGACAAACGATCGCACAAATGCCACACTGTTAACAAGTTAACAAGTCTTTGCGTTTATTGAAATCGTGATAAACATGTACATTACTCGTGACATTACGTATATTTTCGTACTTAGCATATATGTATCTGCTTGATGTGTTACATTGCCGCTGTAATAAATTAATGTTCGTATTTATTATTTTGACTAACCCTAACTAATAAGACGGCATGATCTGAGAGTGACAGCTATTGAATATCAAGGATTACAACTCTCGTTTTTTCGGTCATCATAATCATATGAGATGACACCGTTTAATGTACACGCACTCCGAGCACGCAGTAAGAGCATGTTTTCAATGTACGTAAATGTTGTTCGACAATGTTAGGTAATATTGCTACAAGAGAGTGAGAGAGAGAGAGAGAGAGAGAGAGAGAGAGAGAGAGAGAGAGAGAGACAGAAAAAAAAAAACAAAATTCTGTTAATCACAACGCCTAAGGCGAATCATTATGAGTTAAGACTGAAAAAAGGAGACTTAAAAATTGATTTGAAACAAAAACATGCATATTACATAATTGATATGCGCTCACATGCGGACATTCCAAAAAGAAAAAAAAGAAGGTAAAAATGAACAAAAAAAACTAAAAAAGAAAACCAAAATATAAATAAGCTTTAAAAAACTTGTTTTGATTTATGTGTCGCTTGTTGTTTAGTTTTTAATATTTTAAGACCCTTAACTACCGTTTTCTGCCACCGTCACCGGATGAACGAGATACACTAACTTCTTTCTCGCGTTTGTAACGCGTCTAACAACCACCTAGATTATGTGGCCTTGACTAGCGAAACGGTTTCAATGAATTCAGTGATCAGTTCCTCTCTATTTTCACTGGACATTAGAAGCATTAGTACAGTCAGTCAGCAAAAACTGAAATGGAAAATTCATCTCTGAAAGCAGGCAATGACATGAGCGCATAAAAAATCTCACAGAAATGCATCCAAATTTTTAATAAACTTCAATAGGCTGTACTTTGTCATACGGTTTATTTCGATTTTAATGTTGCACTAAATATTTATTCAGGGCATTAAGCAAGTTCCACGCCGGACAATATCAATCCTACCGGCTTTGTACGGTTTGTATCTGCTTCATGTAGAGATCATCCAGAATACTTCTCCACCGAATAGAGTATATCTACCGCTTGCCAGACCTATTTACTTAAGCGAGTACTAATCAAATATTCTCTTTAAGAAGGCAAATGGAAGTGTTGTTATGCATGTGTTTTTCATCTTAAACATAAGTTAAAGGACGTGGACGACCAAGAAATTCGTTTCATTCCCAAGAAAATAAGATACGTTTTTTAGATTTTGTTTTTGTTTTACGCAGTCCTTTTAATTCTTCACAATAACGATGATTTCAAAATGTTTAATAAATTTCGTTGGTTTATTACGCGCCGAGTAAGAACAGGTTTCTTATGATGACATTTTGAAGTTCATCATCTTATAAACAACAATTGTTTTGGGTAACTTTGAACGAAGAATATCTCCAAGTAACTGTAACAACTTTTTCTTTTTAATTCATTACATTTTTATAACCGCCAGCGGTGGACAGAAGTGTATTCGACATCTTATTCGGTTTGTCACAGCCAGTAATTATTATCAATATATTTATGATCATTTTTTAAGATATTCAAGTATTCTAAATAATGCCACCTGTCCGTCCATATAATTGGCTCTTATTTGTTTGCGTTTGTTTGCGTGTATCGCCTTTGGTTGGAAAATTGGACTCCCGGCATCTCTCACTTAAAATTTAAATGAAACAATTAATTGAGCACGCCCACAGCATAAATGTATAAATGTTCCCTCAGAAGGTCAACTTTTATGATAAAGAAATAAATTAATGTAAAATAGATTCCAAAACATGAATTGATACGCCTACCGATGTTCAAAGTTTCTTGCAATGACATGTGAAGTGATGGGTATCAACGTTTCGCCCTAAAGCGAATATAACTTTCTTACTTGTTTTTCTTATGTTTATTTCTTTTGTTTCTTTTTTTTTTTTGTAATCATTTCGTAACACTTTCAATTTGTTGCTCTCCTACCGAGTGTGTAGGTTAGGGTTCGATGTGATGATCTCGCATATATAACAAAAGTCCATAAATACTTTTAAGTCGTTGAAATAACGTTCATTCGTTAATACATCACTAACGGAGACAAATTGTGCGTCGCGTCCCAAATATAATGCGCTTTATTTCATTTTTGTGCTTTTTACCGCTGTCAATAGTTTTAGCGGCACCTGAAGGATATAAATATAGAGAACCTGTCGCCAGACTTCAGCAAGGCAATGCTCCAGCGAATGCATTTCAGCCTATCGTTGTAAGCGATTTGTCATGTAAAAATAATGTTGAGTCAGGCATTCACAATCTTCCTGTCATAAATTCACAGGCGACCGGAAGACTTGTAAATCATGAGCAACAACATTATCAAGGCCAACTAAGTGGAAAGTTGCAAACACATAATTATAAGACAGTACAGCAAGTCATACCCACGCAATTATATCACCACAGTCAGGATGTAAATGGGCAGACGGGAGAAGGTTTAAGTACGCTGACACCACCATCAGTGCAGTTGCCTATAAACTATAGTCCTGCAGTGCATCTAACACCTCAAGTCCCAGTTCAGTCCTTTCACAACGCGCCGAATGCCGGCGCCGATCAAACATCGGCATATTTCTCCCATCAAGCGGCAGGCCTTTCTCAAAATGTTAATCTAAACAATCAACAGCATTACTTTGTGGCAGGTGCACAACAGCAACCACAACAACAGGGCAACAAAGGATTTGTCAAACCTATTCATACAACTCATTTGCCAATACAAAGCAACATTAATTCGTTCAGTTCGTTGTCGTCTCATCATCTAACCAAAAACTTCAACACAATTCCGACGTTCGGTGCATTGCATCCACTGGACGGACAATTGAGCCAAGTTATACAAGAAGCATATTCTACCGCCCCGTTGGATCCTACGATAGAGAAACACATTTACGTGCATGTTCCTCCCGAGGAACTTGAAGAGACAGCAAGCAGTCTGAAGTTGCCGCCGCAATCATTATCCACCGCGCCGAAAAAGCATTATAAAATCATTTTTATTAAAGCCCCGTCAGTGTCTACATCATCACATTATGCCCATTTGGCGGCGGCAGCTGCCCCTCAGGTTGAGGAAAAAACTTTGGTATATGTGTTGGCGAAAAAACCCGACGAACCATCTGCCGAATTTTTGCAGCAGCTTCAACAATCCACCTACAAAACGAACAAACCCGAAGTATATTTCATTAAATACAAATCGCATAACGAGCAAAAGACCAACGGTTTTGTAAACATTGGCAATGGTTTTACCGATATACGAACGGATATTGAAAGTAATAATGTTGATGCTTCAGTGACATCCTCATCCTCATCCTCATCCTCATCCTCATCCTCAGCCTCAGCAACATCGTCCTCTTTAACTGAAGATCTTAAACACCGGGTGTATGGCGTGCCTTTACAGTAATATTTTTTTTCTCCTTTTTTTTCCTTTAAATTTTTATTCACATTTTGGTGGAAATGTATGTAACATAATCATCTTTCATAATTAATTGCTTCCATTATGATTCACATTTCACCTGTTATTAACCGTAGTCGACATGAATATCTTTCTTTTAAAATTGCGCCGTTAGTCATAGGAAAAGAGCCAGCCAACCATCTATCCCTAAAGTGTCAAAACAACACAAAAACTTCATCTTCAATGCATATATTTAATTAATGAACATATTTAGTTATCGCCTAAGCAAATGCACATACATAACATGCATGCATCCATTCATTATGCTTTAGAGATAATATTTATTTTAATAATTTATTAAAAACGGAAGGCCATTTATTTTTTAGTAAAATCATTTTTCTTTAAAAGTCAATAATTTTTAGCGTAAAATATTGCAACTAATAATAAAATGTTAATGGAAAACGAAAAAACAGAAGATTCATTTTTTTGGAAGCAAAAAAAAAAAAATAAAAAGAAGTAAGAAAAGTATATTCGGTTGTGATCACCGAATTTTTATACCCATCGATGTTGTCGTAATAGAGATAAAGTAGGTAAACAATTCTAAATTCTCATGCCCGATAATATGGAGTGGGCACAGCTGACTTTTTCTACTATCAAAATAAAAATTTTTGCCGCACAGGCGTGTACTGGGAAAATTTTAAATCTCTGCAAAATTCCTTCACAAATTTGTAAACCATATCTTCATTTTTGCTAATGGGAGAGCATTTACCATAAATACTATACAGTTGCGCAGACAAATGAACATGACAAATGAAAACGTTTACGTATATTCTAAATTTGAAACTGGCCAAGAATTTATATACTTTGTGGGGTTTTTGAAGTTTGTTTCTGCCCCTTTCAAAAGTATTGAAAAAAAGATTAAATTTTGATGTGCTATAATATTGGGCAGGCGTGGTTAATTTTTTCCATTTTTGGAAAGTCAACTTTGTAGGCGACATCTTCATTTCCACTAACAGAAGAACGTTTATCCTACATATCCCACAGCTAGGCAGGCGAACAGAGGGTCAAACGAGCAGACGAACATGTTAAACCGGCCAAGAGTTTATATACCTTAGAGTTTATATACTTTTGAAATGTCGTTATAAAAGTATTAAGAAAAAATTAGATTATGGTACGCTATATTATTGCGTACGGGTGGTCGTTTTTTTCATTTTTGTACAGGTCCCACGACGTCATCCACAGAATATGCTTTCAAATTTTATCTTTTATCGTTTATGAGTAATGATCAAAACCCAATTTTTTATTGCGTTTGAAAAACAGATGCGTTTTCCATCTGTCGACCCATAACGTCAGTTCATTTATCCGGCCTTCTCCCGTCTGCCTATCCGCTAGAATATCCCGTCCGTCAATTCCTCCCAATTTTTTCTTAATTTATGATAGAAAGTTAAATAAGATTAAGATTAAATTAAGAATGATCTGCTTGCAAGCAATCCCACAATTATCAAGAATTTAACGACACGTTTTTAAGCGTTAAGTCCACCTTATAAATCTCTTTTTGCTGTACAATTTTTTTATCGCCTTAATTGTTACTTATTGTCGCCCAAAACTTCGACCTCACAATCGATGTTTACTACTTAAAACTAATGCTATTTAAAACTTTTTCTTGAAGTTGCACTTCTATAATCGTCCTCTAATATACCTCAATTCTCAATCGGTTGACTTCACATATTACAAAGTGTAACTTCATTATAATATACAAGGGTGTGAAGATAAATTCGAATTTAGCTAACAAGGGCAACTACCATGTACGTGAACAATACTCTGTTAACCACTTAACAGAGCTCTGTTAGATAATTACAATTAAGATATAGTTGGATTTGAAAGCCTACTCCATCCAATATTCTCTACTTAAAAATAAAAACAAAAAATCAATTTTTTCTAAGCTTAGAAACGAACATTTCAATATTTTTATTAGAAAAAATTGAGTTGCATTCAGTTTACGTTCCATTGGGCGCTTTTGCTTTGACCAATTTGGCCCATTTTCAATACTTCCAAAGTTTCTTCCAAATTTGAAATCAGTATCTTCGTTTTTGCAACCAGAAAAGTGCTTACAACACACACCACACAGGCATATGGGCATACTTACAAACAGACATGGCTAGATCAACTCAGAATTTCAAGCTGATCAAGAATATGTATACTTTACAGGGTCTCTGAAGCCTCGTTTTGAGTATTACATATATTTTGGAAAAAAACAAAATCAGTATACCCCCATCTTACAGTTGTGGGTATAAAGAAATATATATATATAAAATAGTTTTTCTTAGGCTTGCCGTAATAAAAAAAATTCGGCGAAGCTAGTCCCCTAGGTAAATTGCTTTTTTCATGAAAATTTCTGCGTATGCATCTTTTTATATAATTATAATAACTTTTTTTTTTTTAGTACCTCAACAAACGTACGAGAACGTTTGTGTGTGCTTACTCATATCTTTGACAACTTTTGAAATTCAATACTTTCAAAAATCCTACGTGTTCCATTCTATTACAAAGTCGCAGCCGAAATTTGCAAACCATTAGTTCCAAATTGGGATAAAAGTGCGATCAAAGATATCGTTTAAACAAAATTAACTTTTCTTTGGCAAGGGAAAAATAATTTTTAAATTCTTCCAAGTAGAAATATTTCTACAAATTTTGTTTCAACGCGTTGAGCCATCTTTCGCAGGATCCATAATTTCGCAATCAAAAGGTAACATATGCACAAATGATCTCGTTCTACTAATACGTGTGGCGTGATGATAGACTCTTTCAAATGTTACGTATTTCTTTGATTCGCTTCAAAGTAAACAAACATTGCCCTATTATTTCTTGTTTAGCGCGTCTTAGATGAGTTACATGTTTCTATGCGTACAGTGTTAAATTTTTGCTGATAGATTTATGGAACCAACTGATCTTTGAACTTCTCCTTCTCGGAACTTCTTATTAGAGATGGAATGCCCTGCTTCCGTTTTGCATAAGCAATAATTTTGGATGCATCTAGTTACGTGTTTGTTATATTCACACTTAAATCAAAAGCTCTTATAAACAACTTTTTCCTATGGTTGATATCCAAAATAAAGGAAGTGCTTTTAAACGTTATAAACAGCTTTAAAATCAACAATCGCTGAGGACAAGTTTGCGAAAGCCATTGAATATCCAGGCGTAACTGAATAAAAATAAGAAAAAAAGATGGGAGAGGGGACAGGGAGGTAAATCAAATCAATCAATTAATTGAAATTCTCAAAATTGTTTTTTAAGAAATTTTCCCCATCATTTCATATATAGTTTTTCTGAAAGATAGATATGTTTGTATCTATGTTTGTAATAAGTTATATTTACTCAACTCAAAAATGAATTCTTTAATCGATGCTTTAATAGTAGGTGATATAAAAAGTCTCCGCGGTTTTTTGGTCTTCTGTTGGGCTTCTTTTTGTAGCTTGCTCTTTTCAAATGTTTCCAAACTGTCGTGTAGTTAACAGCGCCTCCGCTATTTCCTGACAGCATCCTTGCCAATCTTGCTCACCGACTATTTCAATGCCTGGCTGATCAGAGCGTGGTGCAACTAAGACATCGAAATTTCCGAAATGGAATTCATGCAAATAACTGCCGTGTCGTTCGTTCACTTCAATGCAACTTTTTAGACGAGCAAATAATTCGAACACTGTCTGCACAAAAAATGTAAGCTGAAATGTCACCCTTTAAGCGCATGTTCGTGTCAGACAATCCGGCCCGATATATAGGCGTCAATACAATCTAGTGGCAATAAAACCGCGGAGACCTTTTATATCATCCGTCATAATACCAAATTGCTAATAAGAAATACTTTTTGAGTTGGAGGATCACTTTCAAGATGACGAAATAGATGTGGAATACTGAATAGCTTAAAAAAGCTAATCGCCGACATAGCGTTGTTTCCGACGAGGAACAGTTGCTATAAAACATTTTCCAAGCCAATGACTAATTTAAATGTTACTTTTCCTTAATCAAAATGCATTTCGGAATTTCCCATCGCTTAGAGGGTAATAAAAATATTGTCAATAAACTTACTATAACTTGTAAACAAAAATGATATGAAAGTTTGAGAGACATTGCTCACGTGTTGTTGTGTTGGCAGTTTCTAAGTAGAAGTCGAATTTCTTTGCGTAGTAAAGACGATGTCGACGCCAGTATGCAGGGTTGTATTGATCAATGTGCTATTTATTGCAATCATTTCATTAGTACCTACCGGCCAACATGGAAGCCCGCAGAGCTGTGGTAATCCGGAACGTTCCCATTGGGTTTCCAAAGAGCCACATCAAGAGGTTAGTATCGCGACGGCACCAAGCGATTTTAAGCAGAGTGTAGGAGGATGGGAAGCTAAAAAGTTTATCAAATCTTTCGGTATAGCACCCAAGCTATTGGAATTATGAAAGAATGACATACGTATCGTAAAAGGCTTGTGTACGGGTCACTACAGGATCAGATATCACGTGAAAAATATTGGTATCGCAGATACCGTTTCATGGAAATTCATATAGAGGAAGTGAAAGAAACGAGCAATTGTATCCAGTGCGAATGCATTCCTATTTGCAGTAGCAGATACTAGGTGTTTGGCGAGCACTTTATAAGGGCGGCAACTCTATGACCGTCCGAAACTAAGAAAGTGCCAGAATTCCTAAGGGTTCTGAAACTGGAAAATTAGAATCACGAGCGAGTAAAATAGATCTTTTTAGGACCGGTACGGACTGCTCAACACAACATGCCCATGGACTCTCCATTACAAGAATGAAAGCAAATCTAGAATTCTACCGTCAGGAGTAAGCCTTTGTTAGACCTCACGTTTTCCCTTAATTACATACAATGAATATTTGCAAAATGAAGATCAGGACTTGGCAATAGAATTGCAGTGGATCCTTGAGCAATGTTGCAAACGTTAATTATTACTTTTATATTCAAAATAGAGCCGCTAACCTATGTGCTCACACATCATAAAAAAACAAACAGACGGACGGACGGACGGATTTCGAATCGATAGATGTAATGAACGTTTGCTCTGTACCACGTTCTTTTGAATGCCGCATAGATCATGTGCAAACTTAATATACCTTTAAAACAAGATGGACTGATGGACAGGCAAGAGCTGAAGTGCTTGTGGATACCCCATACACCCTTGCAAACCGGACATGCTTAAATGATTTAGAATTTGATGCTGATCAAGAATATATATACTTTTGGTGGAGTCTCTGCTTCTTCCTTCTGGACGTTGCAAACGTTTTGACAAAATGAATACCCCCGTCATCCTTCGGTGATGGAAGGACTATATCGACTTTGAGTTAGTTTCTATTTTCAACTCTTTAGAGTGTTTCCTTTGTTCACAGAATAATGCATATATTTTATATAGAATTTTATATAGAATTACTTAGTAACAATGTTTGCTACTTATTTAAAACATTTGCAATATTTTGACTTTCACGATCTTACCTATGCTTTCCGTAAACTTGAAATGATTTCGTAGATATTTAATTGCTGGAATTTAAACACGCTTTCCATTAAATTGTCTTGGGTGAGAGTATTTTGAAAGTCTTTTTTTTTATACAATAATTCCAATGGCCTTCATCGGCGATCTTTTTGATGATGCAAGTAAGAAAGCTGTTCTTAAATCTTTGTGCAGGTTTTCTCAATAATTTTGGCGGCACAATGACTTAAGTGCGGTATCCTCAGACCTTAATAAGTGTAAATTATTTAAGCTCTTATGCCTGCACGCTTCTCCAAGCACGTTGTCATAGAGTAGTAGCTTTTGCACTTACAATTGTAGGTGCTCAAGATTTCTACAGGCCTGTCATAGACTAGGGAGATCAGGGAAGTAACAATGTGATTAAGAGCATAGCATTGCTGGACTGGTAGGTGCTTGTCTTTGAACATTGAAAATCCAACGAGGAAAACTGGTCTCTATACAGGTACAGGTAAAGTCTATACAGGTTCTTTATAAACTGGGGAGATTAGAGAAAAAGAGGTGACATTAAGAGCACAGCATTGCCAGACCGGTAGATGATTGCCTTTGAACATTGAAAGTTCAACGAGAAAAATTGGGCTGCAATCTGGACTGCATGGATAATTCGAAAGTTTTGCTGCGTCCTGCTATTAGCCCAAGAACATTATAGTTCGAATAATAGACACTATGGTTGTTATTGTGTCATTTCTTACTGACGTACAAAGCATGCGTTTTGCGAAAAGTTTTCGTTGCCTGCTTGCGGATAACGAAGTCCTGACAACTGGTGGAAGTCCTTACGAGGAGTTTAGGGGCATTAAATAATTAGAAAGCCATCTTCTTGCTCGTAACCAATCTTTCCTATTTGGGATTCCAATGGCAGTAGGCACCCTAAGTGGGATGGGCTTGTCCCACACACTGGAAGGCTTCGGCTTTCGTTTAAACTCAATTTGCAAAGTTGTCGAACTTCGTTCAATTAATTCACATAGATAGGTGCAAGCGTTAAATAAAGAAGCAGTAGGGCTTAAAATTTTCTTTCCATCTTTATATTTCATCTTTAATATTTTGATTAAGATATGAGGTTCAGAAATAACTGAATTGGACCCGTAGTTCCCATAGCATGGCCCTAAAATAGCTGAGCCTCTGTTCAAAGGTTTAATTTTTGAAAAAAATTAAGTAAATCGCATCAAGGGTCCTCCTCACGCAGCAAACAACAACATGTTTTAGTCGTAATACAGTTTTTAATTTGCAACGGTGCCAAATTATAGTTTGAACCATATGCGCTATAGAAAGTACATCGAAGGCAAACGGTTCGTTGGTTTATTAAGGGATATCCAAGGCAATGTAAACATAATTAGTTAGTTTAAGCAACCAAGCACGAAGTGCTGCCAAATTATGTACATATAAGGATTAAATTATTTACAATACATGAGCCACGTCCAGGACAAATGGACCATTGCTTTATTTAGTAATCAAATATGGCGCTGGGGTAATAATAGAGGATATGCCAGAGCCCGGACAAATATGGTTCCCTTTTCTTGCTTTGAGCAATCATAAGAAAAATGCTGCCAAATTATATAAAAATATAGTTTAAATTGTAATATGGCTTGGGAGCTTTGTCGAAGGCGAATGGATCGTTGCTTTATTTAACGGTGAAACGTAATGCTGTAGCTATAGTAAAAGTTGTACAAGCTAAGGTAAATATAATTGCGATTTGTTAGTTTATGCAACCCCTTACAAAATGTTGCCAAAGTATGTAAAAATGTTGATTAAACCATAGAAGTCATGCGACGTCCCTTTCTTCGCTTTCTCTTGAAATCAGATATGACGCTGAAGAGATATCCAATATGGGAATTATGACTTATATAGCCTTGGCTTCTTAGTTTATAAAAAATGCTGCCAAATTGCGAGAAAATATAGTTTGAATGGTATTTGGTATACGAGAGCAAAAGGATCTTTGCGAGTAAGAGATATTAACATATTGAACGCAAACTGAAAAAAACGTGAGTTTGCTACCTTATGCAACTATGTACTATGTGACTAAAGGCTCAAGATTTCTTTTTTTTTTTTTTGAGTTAAGGAATTTCTTTCATTCAATTATAAAAATTATATTAATAATAATAGGGTGAATAGAACAGCGTCTTGCCCCTTTTCTGCAGGAATACCAGCTACGCTTAGGCGGCATGCAGAAGAGAGCGTTTACTTGAGTCAAAAACCACTTTTTCATTTCATTTGCTCGAAACGTAAACTAAAATAAAATGGGAATAAAGACATCATTTGCTTGGAAAACAAGCTTTGTACAAAAATCTTCACTCAATGTTTTGGTAGAATGAACACTAAATGAATTCGCCGCAAAACGACTAACTAACTGCCCATCCAAAAAGAAGTGAAGCGATAATATAGTATGCTAATAATTTGTGTTTAAAAAAAAAAAGACGAGGAAAATCAACAACACAACTACCAACATGATGATGAATATGTACACCGATTTTAATTTGCATATGTTTGCATATTTATGGACACATAAATGTCTAGGAATATGTGTATATGCGCTTATCAATCTATAAAGCATATACTGGTTGTAGATCGTCGTCTTACCAAACACAACAAGTATTGCTTAACGCATTTACTGCTTTAGTTAGTCGCTTGCTTGTTAGCTTAACTTAGTAGCAATTTGTTGTTTTAGTGGACAAACACTTTTGGAGCACCGCTCACTTTACTTCAGTGTAATCGATTGCACTGATGTTAGTTAAATTTGTATAATAATTTTGTTTGTTTTTTCTTTTTTTTCTCTCTCTCTCTTCTTTTCAATGAAGCCAACAAGCAACAGAGCCAGCAATAGCGCCAATCGCATTAGTTAAAGATGCTACTGCTATTTAATCAATCTTTTTGTTTTTGTTTTTATTATTGTTGCTTCGGTTGCGATGATCGAGCCAACCATTGACAACTCTATATATAAATAATATAAAATGCGTGCGGGTTTTAGTTTAGTAGTTTTGTCATCGGAAATAAGTGTCAATTTTCATCTTCACTAGCTATCGAATATTGTGTGGTGTTTACAGAAAAAGCGAAGGTTAACAACAATCAACCATAACTTGATCTATACTGTGTTTCGCAATAAGACTTTGTTTTAGAAAAAAGACGTAAGATTATTACCAATAATGGTGCGTGCGTTTGGGATAGCTTTGCTTTATTACGGTTATGCGGCTAATCTTTGCTTAGCCGCCTCGATTGTGGATAACGGACATCTTTCGAACGCCAATAATTTAAATCTAAGAAATTTATTACCAAAATCTTTGGTGCATGATATACAGCATAATCAACAACAACAACAACAACAACAACAACAACAATATTTCGATCGCTTAATACATAACGATATACAATATGCTCAGCGATTGCCCGCGGATCAAAGTGTTTATTACGCAAATTCGAAACGTCCAAGCAATCATAATGAAATTATAGATGTACAAGTACCCACTAGAGCAGATGCGAGTAAAATACTTTTACATTTGCCTAAGCATCATCAAGTCTATTCATCGGCATCTCCATCTCAGCCCTTCTACGTAACCCCCCGCAGACATTATCGCATAACTTTGATACGTAATCATAAACCAGCGCCTCCATCCCCGCCCGCTCCCGAAGTCGAGCAAAATACATTGATTTATGTTTTAATTAAAAAACCAGATCAGTCTGATGTTAATGAAGAATCATCGAACAAATCTGAGCAAAACTCATTTAAGCTAAATCCTCCCGAGGTGTACTTTATTAATTATAAGGCCAACAAATCAAAATCGGATGCATATGCTTCCCAAACTAATACAGAGCAGCGATACGAAGACACTTCCAAAGTTTAGTTATTTATAAGTTATTAGCATAGAGAATGTACCTAATATCCATTCAAGTTGTAAATAGCGCTAAAAGCTATATATTTAATACATTGTTATACGTTTTTTTTTCTTTATAAGATTTACAAGATAACTGTTGTCATTGAGAAGTTTTATTTAATAATTATTAGAAAAATTTTTGCATTTTTTTACATTTTCTTGGTTTTAGCTTTGCCAAGAGGAATGATTATTCATATATCGAATGCATGATAGTAATAACCTTTAAGAATGTGCTTAGAAATCCTATATGCACGTCTTGTTCATATGTCAGCATTTAAATATTGTTTTCTTTGCCGAAATGATAGAAGCATTCTTCGGAACTATCGACAGAGTCTCCTCTACGTAAAACATAGTTTGTTATTTCTCATTTATAATAGTTTGAATAAACTACAAAATTTATATAACATTGGCTCGATTCATTTTCTTCGACTCTTAGTACAACTAACGTAACAACTTTCTCTAGAGTTCAACGCTTAGACACCTGCACACAAATATGGTTAAATCGACGTCGACCGATGAATTATGTGCTAACACAATGTCATACCAACCGTTAGCGAATAGAACGGTATCAACAGTAATTGCCACGATCGTTATATGACGATTGGGAGACGAAAAGGAATATCTTCGGAGCTTGGCTTGACTTCTCGGTGAGGGCGTAATATTTTAAAATGTTCCCTTTTCAAAAATTGAAGAGCCGACAGTCTTGGTTGTTACTGCTTATTTTGTATTTTATGCCTAAAATGTATTTCTTTGGCCTAAATAAATAATAGTAATAATAATAATAATAATAAAATGCCCTCTTCTAAATCAAACCAAGATTCAAAGCCGATTTACATATGTCTGTCTATCTGTCCACGTGTTTCTAACACCTGCGTAGTTATTTAAGGGGATATAGAAAAACTTAATTTCGCATCGAAGTTCGTAGCTAAACTAAATTGGCGTAATCCGCTCATGCGCATCTTCGAGGAAACAAAATCAAACCTCAGAAGAATTTTAAGAATAATCAACCACCGGTAAGAATCAATGCTTTTCTTGGACTGATCAGGAAGCGTGCAAAGACCTCCTCTCAGTGAATGTGAATAGTTACGATTACCTGCCAGATAATATAATTTTGCTTTTGAGACAAGTAAATATTTTTCTGAGATTTGTAAAAGACGACCTTTAGATTTCTTTAAGGCTACAAGGTTACATGTTGATTGCACAATTTTCAATCCAATTCATATATCTGAGAGCAGTGAGCCAAAGAGCGAGGGCTGATTCGCCAAGCTGTAATTAAGAACGAATCGAAAACTGACAGAACTTTGAACAATACTGAAAATGTATTTTTAGAAACAGCCGAGAATATAAAACAGGTATCAATCAAACTAAAACTTAATTACACATTTAATTAAGATCCGGTAAGAGCTGTGCAAAAAAAAAAAAAAAAATCTTAATCTTCGTAATGATTTCACACAGGTTTCCTGAATGGCAGATATTCAAGGCTTACTTCAAAATAGGTTTGGGGTCCTGAAGGAATAGAAACATATAGGAAGCGGCTAGCAGATGTATATTCATTCTATTCAATTTGAAATCTTTTTTTGAAAATTATAAATATGAGAAATCTGTTCTTATTCTTTTAAGAAATTGGTGGAACTGGCAATCGGAGGGATATGGATTCAGTTGCTTGAGCTGCAATTCTAATTTAAGCGTTTTGATTTTCGTCAAATTGGGTCAAGATTTAAGTAAAAACCAATGACCGCTTCAGCGAGGAATAATCACGAAAATACCGGCGATTTTCTTTAACGTATACTCTCTTAAGAGCTCTCTTAAAGTTATATAGAATTTTTGTGGCGGCGAAAAGGCAAAATGAAGCAACAGTTCTTGTATAGAATTTCTTTATCAAAAAAAAAAAAGGGATAGCATTGCCATTGCAGAGCAATAGTGATCGAGATTTCTATGTAACTACAGTTTTTTTTTTCTATATGGCAATGCCAAGCAAATTTTCTTTATGATCTGCTGGAGATCGTTGTTGGGCCATCAGGCAAAGCTTGTAAATATGCTTTATTTTGCTCCAAGTACATCCAACGACAACGAGTCAGTATTACTAGTATTGTTGGTGAGTACGGGTCGTGTAGCGTATTAATTTGTGTGACGCTTAAGTGATGTGCATCTTTCAAAGTAAAGCAGAAAAGGGGAGCTATTAGTTGTTTACTGCTTAGTATTCTCCTGGAAATTGAAAGAAAAAGGAAATAATAAACCAAATAAAATACTTATAGTCAAAACTGATTCATGAGAAGCGTAGCGCTACCTAAATACAATTTTTGGAGACTTGAAGAGAGAGGAAAACTAATACGAGTGTGACTGAAGCAAAAAGGTGAGAATTATATTTTGTGTTGCGTTGCCTATGAAGGAGAGACAGGGAGAGAGACAGAGACACACAGAGAGAGAGAGAGATCATCAAACCTAATGCGTATGTGAGTTTTTTATGCATACTTTCTCTAAAGCAACAACAATATTTACAATTGTGTGCGATCTGCGTGTGGTGGTTTACTGTATGGGCTGTATGGTTACGCTTATATTTCGCCCAACAAGATCGTCGTCCCATCAATAACTCCACTGAATGAAATTCATAAACATGTAATTCCAGTATATTTCCAGAGAGCTTTGCGATCGGTGCGTACCATATAAAACGAAAACTTGTCTGTGCAACGGTTCATATTAAAATTGTTCATGTCTAAAAAAGCCGAACACAAACATCTACAAAATTAAGCATAATTTTAGCAAAAAAAAAAAAAAAAAAAAAACAAGGAGCAAGAAAAAAAAAGATTGCAAAGAATATGGCTCTATGTGAAAGACCAAAAATAGAAAATTAAAAATACATTTAATTGTCGTAAGATTGCGTGCTTCTGGCCAAAGCGTAAGCAAGGTTGAAATCTAATACATACAAACAAGGTTCTAGTAAAGCAGAAACGATCGTAAATAAAACTGGTGGGTGGTTAAGTGCAAAATAATATTTGCAAAAACAAAAAAAAAAATGAAAAACAAAGTGGAAATTCAGTGCACAAATATCCTGATTGCACTCAAAGAAAGAGAGCGAAATATGTAGAGAAATAGAGAGCAGAAGAGCATGAAACAAGAAATAAAAACAAAAACATGTACATATATGTGTGGCTATGTAGACCTATGATGATGATACATATTTTATGCCAGTGATCTGTGCTTCCTTTTGAAATTGCCTACGGACGCAACCATCAACGCTAATACATACGTATATACATAAATGCGTGCTTATGTACGTAAACATTGGCCCGAAAAAAAAGCATGAAATAGAAAATCCAATCAACACTAGTATGACATCAACTTTCGTATGTTTGCGTTGTTGTCTTTATACAAATTAGGAAAATAGGTTGTCGACACATATGTACATATGTATGATTGCCTGTGCACATATGCCCATATATATTTATATATATAAGTATGTACTTGTCGTTATGTTTTTTTGGACAGAGTACTCAGTTTGAGGTACAATAAAATATATTATCAACGTTTATGATCAGCTTTAACGGTTAGCTTCATTAAAAGACTTTTTGGTATCTTTACGCATAAAAGCCGAATTATGCCCACCACATACTTTATGTTATGCGGCAAACTCGTATTCATTCATTCATTTTAAGGCAATAGAAAAATTTAATTAATTGTTAGTTGTTGGTTAGTTACTATCCGTCTACACGATGCGATGAGTCAAGTACCTTCAATAATCCCATATACAAATGATGAAACGTAGGGCTTTCCTGAGAGTGAGAGATTGTGTTTACATTTGTGAGTAATACACAACACCTACACACGTATTATATTTGCTTGTAAAGAAGAGAAGGAAGAGGAAAAATTCAGATTTTCATGATTTGATGATTATTCGATAGACAAGTTTTTCACAGAAACCGTCGTTTTGTGTGGAAAACAAAGCTAAGCTAAACTAACAAAAGGATAAGTAAGTAGCGTTCATGAATATTTAGTGTAAATTGTTAATTCCTTGAGAAGCCATAGAGTATTAGGAATTACCCTTTAAACTAATGGATTTTGCCTACTATTCGCCTATTGATGCAAAAGTTTGGCCGTTTTTTCGTTGAACATTTTTGAAGATTGCTTCTATATAGACATCAACATTTAAGCGTTACAGAGGAGGCTTATATTAATCTGAGGAATGGATCATTCTAACTGTCTATGATCGTCATTTAAAATTTATATACACTAACAGTCAAGTAACGGGAATATAGGGCAAAATACATCTACTCTGAAGGATCTTATCCTTTAATCGTACTTTCTTCCGGCGAATTTTCATGTCATTTACTCCATTACTGCAGTGAGTTCCCTGAATGTCTCTATAGCCTAGCTGTACGATTGTTCTCATTCATATATTTGAACCTATAAAGCCATAGGCCAATGCACATAGATCCAAGAGTTACAAAAAATATGCAAAAAAATAAACCAACTGATCGGCTACTGAAGCAATCACCGTAGTCTATGACTAAGAACAGCAATCGTCAACTGTTAGCATCAAGAGAAATTTAGAATCAGAACAACACACGGGATTGCTTATATTTAACGAGGAAATATGTTAACGGCCTGGATAGATTTAGAAATATTTGGTAACAAATAAAAGCCAAATCATGTCACATCTGCTGTGGATGCTTTCAATCGTTCAATTTCGTTACCACAACAAAATCTTGTTGCCGCATTGCCTTATGGAAAAAATAATATTTGCCTCGCTGAAAATGCATCATTTCTTTCGAATGTGAAACCTATTACCGATTTAATGGGAATGATTGGTGATCCTTGTTGGTGAAGTCGTGACGCTTGAAATGCACTAACGCGACGTGAGAAAGCATTACAAAGGAAAATTCGCTGCGACAAATCTCCAAATTAGGATAAAGGAAAGGGGAAGTGTCTGCCCATAATTAGGAAAACATTTCTTATGATTTTTATATATCTACTGCTTGAGGGTGACTAGAGTTCGTTTTTAGGCGTGTAAACAGATTTCTTACTTTTTTGCGTTTATTTTCGGAATTTTATTTATGTTTTCTACTAAAACGTATAGCATTTACCGCATTCTTGAGCAGCTTGGAATTTCGTTACTGATCAGCAATGTGTTTAATTGATTAAACGATCGGTATGTGGCGAACAACAACATGTCTAAATTGCGTAAATCGGCCTCGTTTCGTTCAAGAATCCCTATAAGTCAGAATCGTTTAAAACGTAGTGATAACGAAAGTGAAAAGAAAATATTCGAATTAAAGCCAAACAGAAGTCTAGATTTCAATCAGAAATTGAATAAAGGAAGAAAAGGTGTAACAAAAGAACCAACAAATATACTGAAAGCAAAAAAGAACATTTTCACACCTCCAGGTTATTTATATTCTTCGTATTCGAGCAGTGACGAAAGCTATGAATCTGATCTACAATATAAGGTAAGCGTGTTAATCTCTCGCATACCGCTCACTCTACTAATTGATCGCTGAATACTTTTGCGTAATAGAAAATTTCAAGTAAATATGCTCATTTCGTCACGGAAGATGTTATGTGCGTGTCAACGGATGCTATATCGTTAGGTGGACTCTTGGATACGGTCAGTTGTGGTAGTAATTTCTCAGATCCACCATCACCAGTGCAATATCAGAGTAGGTGAACATTTTTTCTTTTTTTTTTTGTCTTTATTTTTCTTCTTTTTCTTTTCATATTATGATTAGATGTACCTTTAATCATGGCGGCCAAAAATGTGTCCTATGAATCTTTAGATAACTATAAAAATCTGGATGGTAAAGAGTTAAAAGCTAAATCGCATCATTTAAATCAATCAGGTAATCAAGGCTTATATTATAAAATTTTTCCTTTTTATTTTTCTCAATAATATTTATTATCAACTGCAGATGCGAAGCTCTTTCAGTCAAGTATGTCTCATGAAAAATTTCGAATGGAAATGCATCAAAAAGAAAACACGGAACTAATTCAACCACCAGACATCATTAATAAAGTTTCGTCCGTACAAATGGCGAATAAAATACATCAGCGCCAAAATCATCAGCTAAATAATGGGAAAGTAGCAAATCGCTGGCATGGTCACACTTTGTCCTTACCCCGCAACGCGAATTCCTTAGGCGCCAGTAATTCAAGCGCTTTAACTAAGAAGATTGAAGTCAACGGTCAACGCAGCATTCCTAAAGTGGAATCTGGTGATCATTATAACGAGCCCAGTGACAGCTTGAATGATAAAATTTATATAAATACAGCGGGAGGATCTAAAAATACTCCGCCTTATTACTCACCTCCAGCGTACGCAACATTTCAAAGTAATCGCTCCGAAGTGCCAATAACCTTTCGAAATCCCGCTGCTACAAACGCTGAGGGCTTAGATAAGGTTAATGTGAAAGTGTTAAAGGAACTCTATCAAAAGCAACAGCAACAACAACAACAACAACAGCAGATTCAAGTTGACATCATAAAAACTACAGTTGCCCGTACGGAACCATCTTTAAAGCCAACTACCAGTAATCAAAACTTAAACAGACAAGCCTCAGTCGGGAGTGACCGTGAAACTATTTTGTATCGAAACGACCTTACGGCTGCCGCAAACTTATTTCGCGGCCAACATGTCAAATCCGTAACCGAGCATTTCAGTTTGCCACCGCCCTTAAGAAAGCATAGTACTCTCTCGCATCGCGACACTGTAAAAGCCCGTAACGATTATGGTAGCCTTCAGAAACGTATCGACGAGACTTGTAGTGGCAGTTTTGAACAATTGGATTTGAATCCTAGCGCCATCGAAAGCGATAAAAGCGCTTGCCTAAATCTTAGTAAAATGAAAAATCAAGAAACTAAGCAACCAGTGGAATCGGGTAAAGTAGATTTTCCTGTATTTAAACAACGGCAAATACAATTGCAACTTAAACAGAATCCACTAACGCGTCAACTATTCGGTGTCATACAAGAGGAGGTAATTTGTAAGGCATAAAAATCCAAACATGAACTTTTTCCTCTACTCTCAACGATAAACATGCACCTCAATCAAATATTCAATGTATGTAAACACTTTAGACGATGTCTCTATTTGCCTTTCTATTTGCCTTTCCATTCACTACGTGATACGAGTTTAATGTTATGTTTGCTCAAAGTTTTACATTCAGAAGGGCTGTACCCGTCTTTTTTGTTCTTTTTTTGTTCACTTTTTTCTTTTGAGAATTCATTCAAGGACTCTACAAGGAAACCTTGACCTTGTCGCTAACATTGAGGTCGACAGCAACGAATATATTTTGTCATAAATTTTTTTCTTGCTTTTTTTTTTGTGGATTAAAAATATCTCTAATTCCATGGTAAGGAATTACTCTTTGAAGCATTAAATTGAAAACTTGAATTATTGTTAGGATAAAGCAGAGTAAAAAGGGAAATTATGTAAAATTGAAAAAATAACAAAAAAAGAAGTAATTTAATTTAATTACATTTCTGTGCAGAAATCTATTCAGACAAAGCAAAAAACAAAGCATTAAGAGTTTGTTATTTAAACACTCACTTGTGGCTCATTAAATGTGTCAAAAGCTAATATCTCAAAGTCAATGTTCTCCTATAACAATTCCCGCTCTTCTCTCTCTCTCTCACTGAATTAAATTGATGATGATATACATACATGTGTCCTCGGGTAAAGCTTTTCTTCGTACAATCGTAATGCATTTTAAAGACTAAAGTTAAAAAAGTGAAAATTCATTTATATTTTACTCAGACTTGCACCGAAATCTCCAACACCTTAAATATTATCTTTATCGTCCTTAAATATTGAAATGTTTAATAAGTTAAGAGCTTGTTTTGAACAAAAAAGTTTTGAAAATCTATATAATAAACCTTCGACTCAAGATGGCCATCACATCTCGTTTGCCACGCGGAAACATACTGATCTAGGTATACGTATAAAATACGTACAAAATACGTACATCCTCCAATTCAATTTATATGGCATGCCTGACATTTAAGATTAGCACTTTTGTTGGTTAACATTCACAAAAGTTGAAAAAAAATTTCATTCAGAAATGTTCACTTTGCCACGAACAATATTTTATTAAAAAAATCCTTGTCGTGCAAGTCCGATCGTGCAAAAAAAATTGCATAAGGTATGAAATAAAGTTCGCTTGCTACGTCGATAAGGTGCAGATGCAATATGTGAATACGAAACTGGAGTTGGGTAAAATACTTATGCACTTTTAAATTTATATAAAGGAATTTTTGTACTGCGTTCAAATCAGTGAGAGCCGTTTAGATATTGTATTAATGAAAAGAGAAAATTCAGAACTAATCCAAGCACAGCTGCACTTTACTCAATCTGTTTTTAGAAACTTTAAATATTGAAATAGTGAGCGCTAATGTTCCGTACAGGATTTTTTCATTTAGCTATAAAAACATGAAAAAGGGTGAGTTTTTGTCAAATGTACGAGGTGGTGGCCCTTGTCTACTTGTCCCGGAAAATATTTATTCCCCTGCAAAGGAATCTCTCTTACAATCCTCGAAGTACTTGTGATAGATTTTAAATTTGAAAAGTAACCTCGTATCCTTGAAGTACTTGGTAGAATCATAGGGGTAAATTCCGTCAAATATACCGTGCGTGTTCAAAAAATTTCTATGCTCCGAACCTCGCAGTACTTGTAATAAATTTAAAATTTGAAATTTGACTCGTATTCTTGAAATATTTTTCCCAAAGTTCGACATTAGTAAGTAATAGTAGTAGTAGTAGTGATTAAGTGTTTTACAGTTTTTCAACGCAACCAAAGCCCGTAGCAGTCAAGTGGATTCAAATTGAATTAAGAAAAAACTTTAACTTCAAAGATTTCGTACAAATGAAAGGATAAAGAGCGATCTGAAATTTTGTGACTCAATCCCTATCTCTCTTCTACATGGCTTTAGGTTGCACTTAGCACGCTAAGCCCGCGCAAATCAACCCAGTCAATATGGTGATTTTTCTACCTTCTTCTTCTTCTTTCTTTTTGATTCTACCCGGTTCTATGTGGTACCCTTTTTCAAAAGGACAAACGAGAGCACGTGCTCTTCAAAATTGATTGGAAAAATTTGGAAGCAATAAAGACTTTAAGACAAGTTAATGCCTGATTTTCAATTTATCACAATATATTCATCCCATTTTACACGATTCTTACAAGCTTTACCCTTTTTACGCGGAAATCATTAATTGAATTAAAATAAGAAAGCGGTCTTTATCGCTGATTTTAATTTGTACTTATATAAATGGAATTCTAAAAATGACGTCATTGTAGGGCATTATCGCGACAGCATTATCATATGATTGTTTATTTTTAGTCTATATATTGTATGTATATATATGTACATATATTAAATTTCCTCCAAGCGCTTATAAACACATTTCAACCTAAAAATGTAAACATATCCTTGCCTTTAGAGATGCCGGCATAATATATGTCTGTCCAATAATGGTTTTACATATCTCTCTCTCTCCCTCTCTCTCTCCTTATCCCTATCCCTCTCTCTCTCTCTCTCTCATCGTAAGCAAATGAGAGTATCAAAGAGATTTTTAGGAGAGATTTATGCTGACTGCATTAGATTCTCGGAAGAGTGCGTCAGATGTGAAAGCTTTTAACACATATATCTTGGGAGATTTAATTTGATTTCTGATGCTGCGTGCGTTCAGTTATATTTTCTATTTTAAACGGTTCGGTCGTTAAAAATTAATGCTCTCCGGCACTTTCTTCTTTATCCTGCATTAACCATCATACAACAACCACCACCTTCAAAGAAATTCTCAATGCAGTATCTTTTAGATTAATGAATATCACAAAAATTTTATTATTACGATTGGTCAGTGTAAAGTGCTTTCAAAAAAAGTAAAATTTTTTTTTTTTGCCTTTTTTCTTTTCTCACTCAATCAAAGGATGTGCAAGAAAACCAAATCATTATCTATGAAATTCCAAGTTAAGCGGAATCATCCATATGGATAATTTATACCGTTTGCATGCGTAATCTTAATATCACTTACAAAGCAACGAATAATGTTTATTCAGTTAAACTCATATTGCATGGAATAAATAAATGATGACTTCAAATTGCATAAAATCAAAATACTTTTGAAATCGGGTGAAAAAGTCTTCACCTCGTTTTTGTGAAAATTTGTATGCATCTCGAATTCCGAAACGGAGTTCAGTCGGTCGTTCAAAGAATTACACACAACAGAAGGAATAAAACGAAAAAAAAACCAAAAAAAAAAAAAAAACAAAAAAAGGAAGAAAAAAGAAAAACAGAAAAACGATTACGTTCTCTTAATAAAGCGTTCTCAATATATTTGTATGTATGTTGGCATCGTAATGTGCAAATTGTGTGTGCGTTTGCATGTGTGGATGTGTAGACGTATGTGCTTTAATGTGTGCTGTGTGGTGTGTGCTGTATGCAAGAGTCAACTTATTCTCTACTTCTCTGCTACAACTTTCTTTAGCATAACAAAACATCCTTCACGTCACCGAATCCACATTAATATGTATCCTGATAATGATGTTGTGATAAATAACGCTCAACTTATGTTGGACGCACAAGTGTTTATGGGTGTGAGATTTTAAATTAAACCATAGTGTGATGAAAGCAGATGCATTTAATGATTTCAAATTAAACATGCAGTTAGTTTTATATAGAGCACAGGCTTGCCTGGGCATGGTATTATCTGAATATTTATAATTCATTAATCAATCCTTACTTGCATGCACATCTTTTTTAATTGTAATCTATTCGGCATTTGCCCTTATAGATGGTATTTTGTGTGAGTTCTATTATTTGCTCATGCTTGCAATATGTTCTCTTTTTTTATTGTTTTATGTCCGCACTATAGAGATTAGTTAGATATATTGTATAGATATTGACTGTGAAAAGGAGATTAGATATTATATCATCAAGATAGGGTGCCCGCAATCAGTGCTTGGTTGTCCCCGCGGGACATCAGCACAAAACAATAAAAAGACACCTGTATGGCCACTTGAGCCGGAGTTGCCTCTTGAATCTCAGTGGGCTGATGGTATTACCGAAGGTTACTGGGATCAAGGTGGCCCATGGGTATGTTAATATTTTTTCATCTTCCTTCTTCTCGTATCGAAACCTACTGCCATAAATGACCCAAAGAGTTTTCATATCATATCTTTTCAAAATTCAGGTTTTTCAGCCGAGATCCACGCCATATAGGAATGATTGCGAGCTATCCGGATCGTATGCTTCTCTGGAGTGTCCCTCGCCACCAGGGCCACCTTCGGCGATGCCTGAAGCACAAAAAGATCCCCAAGCTCGTTTAAGCAATTTCCTACGAAATTTTTATCAAGAATTGGCTTTTAAAGAACCCATCCTGCCTTGTTGGGCTTTGCCAGTGGCACCCGGGACAATGTGCCCAGCACGTTTGGAGTTAGATCTACGCTTGAACACCAACTCGCATGGTTTTGGTGATTATATAACGATTGATCAACTTTTGACTTCGGTGCAAACGAAGGAGGGAAACTTCTTGGAGGCACCACGTCGTTGTCTAATCGAGTGTCCCAACTGGGCTTCGCGCAGCCAGCTTTGTTTGCGTATTTTGTATGCCTGGTCCAAGGAGCCGCCATGGCCTTCCAAAGGAACTCCAGTCGCGTTAACTTTATTAATACCCCTTCTTGAATTAAAGAGAGGTTTTGCCCATTACGTAGAAAAGGTTGGTCGACATGCGCTTTGAATTAGTTTAATAAAAGCTATTCTCGTTTTTTACAATAAAACTTTCTTATCAAGGAATTATTGCCAAAAGGCTCATTAAATCCCTTTAATAATATTACTGGAGGCTTTTGCGCTGCTTGGAATTCTCTGACTTCTCTGGGACCGAAATTATTAATAATTTTAGACGGTTACACCAGTCAAAGAAGTGGAAACACAAATGTCTCACCTCCGCGGAAATATAGATCCGGTGGTATTGTTAGTTCCTCCAGCGGTAAAAATCAATATCCTTCCGATGTTCATGAATTGTTGGATGGAAAATTGCTCCCTGAGGCTCGCATACTCATCTTAACTAATTCATCAAACTGTTCAGAACTTATGCCAATTGTCCAGAGGCATGTTATGTTCGAAGGCTTGACTTGGGGTAGATCAGCATCAATACTAGGAGGCGGACGTTGGGGCGGACCATCCCGCCTAATAGATGGAGTACAAGAAAATAAATTTCTACGGCATGCTGTGAAAACCCCGTTAGGCTGTCTTGCCATATCAGCTATTTATGAATCCTCCGATGGCCAGTTGCCTATAGAGGAGTTGGATGTAGTCGAATCGATTTTTAACTGTGTTGCTCCGAATGTCTTAACTTCAAATGTATCCGAATTAGGACGTCTAGCGTTATTTTGCTTGAAAATGAAACGCACTTACATTACAACGGCGGAAATTAAGATGTACTGTTCTTTGCCCGAAAGTATAATGGGTTGCCTTGATAAAAACGTTCTTTATGGCAAAAGTGCTAACAAGAAAGCAGAGTATGTGTTCAATCCGATTTGTCAAGGTATGCTGGAGTATTTGGCTGCCAATTACATAGCCTCGTTAGCTTCTCGCCCCGGTCTACTATCGGCGGAAATCACTGGCATGGCAATCGGTGACGAGTTAGACATCGATTTACTAAAAGTTTTAAAATATGCCATGGCTTTATTGGGTGAACAGGCATACATATTGCTATCGAAATTAACGCCGTTGTGGCTATCGCCGCAAACCGTCTTCTCGTTGGCTCTCGCCGGCGGCAGTAGTGACGCGAATATGGCAGCTCTTTGTGATATTTTGGGCATATCAAAGCATCCTCCGATTTCACCTTTGGAAACTAAACCTCTTTGGGTACAAGTGCGTTCCGTACCCACCGATCTTATGGGATGGGGTATGGCCTTAAAGAGTCCTACATGCACTCTTAAAAATCTTGAAGTAATATATCAGCTTGAAAAACAAAATCTTTTGGAAACTCGGAAGGCGATAGAAACATTTTTAGATTCTATAGCCATAAACGAAAGCGTATCAACTTTACGTTTATCCTCGTTGATTGAAATGGATGTGAAGGATTCAGAAATTAATTATTTGGCGAACTGCATTTCCAAAATGTTACTGAAGCCAAGATTGGAAAATTTTGAATTAGTGCTAACTCTTATTGAAGAAGATCCACCGATGCTGAAATTACAATCGGTAGTAACGGCTATATGTCGAACCATACCTCGTCAAATGAAGCTTAGCTCGTTATTATTGGACTTGGGATTGTGCACGTCCCAATTGGTCCAGATATGTACAGCTTTAGAAAAATGCACAAATTTAACCCGTTTATCACTGCCCCATTTACGTTGCGAAAGGGGAGCCATATCCACCCTGTCAACGCTATTGAGCACGAAACCTATAAGTTTCTTATTTTTGCCATCGTGTTGGGGTGCAAGAGATGATCCACCTTCGTCCAGTGGCGTAAGCATGGGTAAGTTTCATTAATGGCAAAGATTTGAAATTGAATTAACTTTCTTAATACAAAGGGTCTGGTAGCGGCAGCAGCACTGGAACATCTTGTCTTATAAAACAAGGTAGTTTGCCAGGGGCACCATCTCCTCGTACTTATGCTCCTGGTGTATTTTCATCTTTACCACGCGGCATGTTTGTCCCACAAGCTTCGTTGGGCCGATCAGCAACTCTACCGCGACAGCCCCTTGATCAAACTTCTGAGAAGCGTTCTTGCGATTCGGTGGTTTCGAAAATTTGGTATCCCACTCCATGCTGCGACGGTGGACCGCACAATTCCGGAACTCTGCACGATCTCTTCGCTACGATACGCGATAACTATTCGAAATTGCGTGGCCTAGATTTAAGTAAAGCTCAGTTATCTTTGGAAGATTCTATGTGCTTAGGCGAAACTATACGAGTATCGAGTACTCTGCATACTTTGAAATTAGAGGGTTCATCACGCATTAGCGAAATTTTACCTTCCATATTGGGAGCTAGTGAATCACCTTGTCTACAAATGCTAAGCATTGGTTCACAAAGATTAAATCTTGATGACTCGGTGATTGTTATGTGCGCGAGAGCTTTAACTAGTTGTGCAACATTACGTCTGCTAAGCATTGACGGTTGGTGTTTACGTATAGAGGTAAACTTAAATAAAGAAAAATAAGTAAGTTGTTCTTTCACCTTTTCATATTATTATTTTATGCTATTGCAGCACGCACAAACACTTTCCATATTGAGAGCATTTCTATCTTTAACCTCTGTACGTGAAATGAGTTTAGCCAATTGCCGCATACAAACATGTCTCATTAAAGCCGATGCAAAGTTAGCGCAACTATTCGAAAGTCGTTCGGTGGTTGTTTTAAAAATGGCCGGAGCCCAAATAACATTACCCGATTTAACAGTTTTTCGTGGACCACAGCTATTGCAGTTCATCGATGGATTTCCGTGTTTAAGAGAATTGGATTTATCAGCACCAGCCCGTTCTGGCATTGAAAGTACACACACTTCACCGTTAATACTCGACGATAAATGTATTGTGCAGTTCTTTCAACATTTGCACTCTTATTATAGGTAAGCAATTTTGCTTACAATTCAAATTTTAATTAATTGAATTAAAACAAGCAAAAGCCACTAATGTGGGCCAGGACTCACAATTACATGCTTGCCGTCATCGTTGTTCGTATAACAACAATGTCCGATCGGAACCATTTTCAATAGCGTTCGCCCTTGGGCGTATCAAAATTAATTTAGGTTGTGCACAAAAACATAAGGTGGACAGAAAGAGAGATAAGCTGAAGTAGGTAAGGGCAGGGAATAACAAGAGATAGGTTCATCCTAACGTCTTCCGGATGTTGCATGCATGCGCACAAACTTAGCATATCCTTGTACTACAAGTAGCATAATGTATAAAAAGTTAGATTTGCATTTGTATTAGGAAATTCAATAACGGGAAAGAACTACACTTGAAAATGAAAAGAACTGAACTTCCGGTTTGGCATCTTTAAATTGGGAAACTTAAAGTATAGGTTGAAAAAAAAAAAGTACTTCGAACAGAATTAGAAAGTCAAAATTTCAATTATGAAATATGACGATTGAAAAGAATTAATTTAATATTGAAATGATCCTCAATAATGAAATGATCGTTTGCCTTCTCTTCTTCTTTTGCAGTTTGTTAAATACTTTAAAAATGTGTAACTGGGTTATACATTTCGACGATATGACTAAGGCCTTGAAATGCATTTCTAAAGCAGTACGTAATAGTCCGATTAGTCATTTGAAATTGGACGGTATTTCGGTATTGGATCGTCCCAAAAAGAAACGCTGCGAAGCCTTATTTATGCATTGTTTCATAACGACGTTGCCTCACTTGAGATGGATGGGTATAAGTTTATCGGGCAAAAAAGAAGATCAAGTGACCGCCATCGGTAATGCAGTATTGGACTTGAAGGGTTTAGAAATTGAAATCAAGTAAGATCGATTGAAAACAAATAATAAAAAATTTTTTTAAAATAATTTATATATTTAAATAAATTTTGTTTCTTTACAGATTAAGTGAATCGACTATAGACCAAGCGAAACTGATGGCTCAGGTTATTAGTTTAGATGGGAAATTTGATATTAAAGTATCGACATTTGGTACATCAAGCGGTATACTGATACATGCTGAACGTTGTGGCGTAAAGAGTCTCACACGTAAAACTAAAGACAAGGATTATAATACTTAAATATTTCGATTTGTATACCCCCTAATGTCTCTGTGAGATGAAAAAATGACATACGTACGTTATACATAATCATACATAATTAAATCATTCGTTGCCAATACATCAATAAAATGTGATTTCATTCGTTAAAGCGCACAATGTTCTCTGAAGAGTAGTGTCTCCGTATGATTTAATTATGCTACGATTTAGATTAAAATTTAAAAAGAAAAAGAAGCAAACATTTTTTAATTGCTTAAATACCTAGATATATATATATATATATATATATATATATATATATACATACATATGTATATGTGGCTTCACATTACTACAACCATTTTGCAATGGTTGCGTATGTTACGTTAATGGTTTGATATTTAAAACACATACATGGAGTAAATTAAAAAAAAAAAAAAAAAAAAAAAATAAATTAAGAAAACGATTTTGTTCTCAAAAAAGACTGAATTAAAAAAAAAATTTATAATAATTATAATAAAAAAAAAAATTAAATGTTTCAAACAATATAAACATATATATGAATTTATTGGTTTGTCGTTATATGTGAATTATGTTCGCACTACATATTTGTAGTATGACAGCACACAAAACCCTCAAATACATACACATATATGAAAAAAAAAATAATAATAATAATTGAAACTTTTAAACTTTGCAAAAACTTTGGTAATAATTTAATAGTTAATATTAATATTTATCAATCAATAATGTTAAATGAAATATATAGATGGGATTGCTCCCACACAACACATCCGAACATATATACATACATGAGAAAAAATACACATATAAACATGAAATTTTTATCTTATTGAAAAAATAATGCAGATGAAATCTGCATCTGTTTTGCAATTTTATACTTGTACACGCGTATAATGATTATTATTATTATTATTATACCCACCACCGAACCATAAGGGTATATTAGTGTTAGCAATCCGTTTGCCACAGATGGAAGTAGAATTCTCACTGCCATCGAGTTGATTCAGTCAAGTCCGTCCATCCATTAATCCATCCATGCATCCATTCATCCGTCCGTCCGTTTGTTGTTAAAATTCTTATTACGTTTACTTATTTATTTATGTAGTTTACAACAGACAGAATATATGCCGGACTAAAGAACGATTCTGAATCGGTTTAGCCATATCCGTCCATTCGTCCACTGCCTGACGTTAAAGTTTTTAAAGGGCGTATTATCTTATCTAATGGGATATTGTGTATGTAAGATCCCACATGACAAAACATATAGTATAGTATAATGAATGCGCGTAACTCAACTCGAATGTATTCAAGTTCATCCTAATTCTCAAAGCCGAAAAAAATTTTAGAAAAACAAACCACTGCTTGCATGTATGTATCTTCAAAAAGGCCATAGACTATGAAAGTGATTACGATTTGTCAACAGACGTGCCCATATTTATTGAAGAGCTGAACAAATTCACCAAATAGAGAAATTTTGAATATATTGTCTTCAATAATGCCTGCGAGCTTGACTAGCTCGCGGTACTGAATGTAGCCACGTTCATCCATCTGTCTCTTTCCTGTTCAAACATTGAAAGCGGCATAAATTCGGATAGAATACTAACTTTCGACTCATATATTCTTATGGATCTGATCTAGAAATCAATTGCGAAAAAAAAAAAAAATATATATATAGAAATTTTCCTTTTTAATGTTAATAAAATTGTGATTTTTCGAAAAGTGATGGCTCAAAATGAGTTGAAAAGAAGTGTTCTTTTTTTTTTTTAATAAAAATTAGTAAAAATTTATAGGTGGATTGCATCCTGGCCTTAATCATATTTATTCAAAATTCATTTTTGGCATATGCTGCTAAATTTCGAGGTGGTGTGTGTATTTAAAATTCGCTTTAAGGCGAATATTATTTTTCTTACTTGTTATGGTTATTATTATCATTATTATTACCATTATTATGAAACTTTATATAAAGCAAAAAAAAAAATTAAATAAAACTAAAAATAAAAAAAATAAAAAGCTATGACTAATGTTAATACAAATAATAATTGTTGTAATTGTATATGTACGCATTAAAAGTTAGATAATAATAAATAAATTTAAAAGAAAGTAAAATTTGAAAACATTTAAATTATACATAATAGATATATATGAAGACATACAGACATCTATATATGTTTATAATTGATGTTAAATATTTAAATAATTGTTTTACATAAGAACGAAAACAAATTTAAAAGCAACGCGTGTTCTTGTACAATAAATTCAATTGAATTTTATTCACTTTTATTTCGCGCTTTAAGAAAAGCAGAAAAAAAACACACACACATACACACACATAGATATACTTGTTAAATTTTAAACATTATCATCATTAATATTATAAATAAATAGCCATAACAAAAGCAACAGAAGCAGCACCAGCAGCAGCAGCAGCAACAACATTAATAATATAATTATTATTGTAATTGTATTTCGCTATTATATATGTATATGTATATATATATGTATATGTATATAT